ACGTAACAAATTTATTAAAGAACGACGTTTCGAAGTCATCTTGACCTCATTTTCAAGTTCAAATTATAACAGAAAACGATTAAATTAATATAAATAGCGTTTACATAATTGCGCAAGCAAACTAATTCGTCATACATGACAGTTGCAATTTTAGACTTAATTAACATAATTAGAATAATTAAACATGCAAATTGATAACAAACAATTAAAAAAACAATAAAACAACACTAGACGAACAATTATGCTAATATAGAATGTTAAGTAAATAGTTTTGAGCGTATCGAGTCCGATTGTTTGTTTAAACTAGGTTTAAGATCTTTAATAAATAACATTTCATAGAGTAAACAGTCGAACTTTCCCCGACATTTTCTCAATACCTTAAAGTTTTTCCCGATGTTCTTTGCGTCCTCGCTATGCTGTTGAACCATATGTTCTCCGACAACCGATGACTTGTGTTCATCAATGCGTTGATGTAAGTGTCGGCAAGTGTAACCGACATAATCTGCGTCGCAGAGATCACATTTGAATAAATAAACAACACATTGCTGATTCGCAAGGGGTGGTTTCGTTTCTGCTGCTGGGAAGTCTACGGCAATCTTTCTGCTTGTGTAGACCGGTTGTATTTGTCTACCGATGGTCTTGCTGAGGTTACGCATCTGTCGCCTCACCGAGTCTGCTGATTTCTGGTCTTTAAATGGTAGCATTACACGTACCACGTTTTCTTTGATGTTTCTTTCCTCGGCTGGATGATCGTCGCTTTCGCGTTTCTGTTCAGTGTACTTCGTTATGATGTTGTCAAGCAGGGATATAGGATATCTGAGACGAACGAAGGTTTTCTTCAGGCGTTCACATTCCGCGGTGGGGGGCTTCCACGATGATGATAGGCGGAATGCACGATTGAGCATGGTCAGGACGAGCGATTTCTTATACCTCACGTCTACATGACTATCATAATATAACATAAGGCCAGTGTTTGTTGGCTTGATGTAGACTTTCGTTTCTACTCGACCGTTCTTATTAATTAGGGTTGTGCCCAGGAAAGGTAATACACCATCGGTCTCTAAATCTCTAATTCCATAGTGAACTGAAGGGATGGATGCAGACTGTTGAGGGTGGAAAGGAATGCTTCTGCGGAAGCAATGTTGCTTTGCGATGTGATGGAATCATCAACAAACCGGTGGTATAAGGAAGGCATCAGGTTGCGTTCTACCAGCTTTTCCTCAATTGAACACATGAACGCGTTCGCCATGAGTGGACCAAGTGGGGAGCCCATTGCAACTCCGTCGACTTGCTCGTATAACTTACCGTCGATTTGGAATAGCTGATGTTTAACTGCTAACTTCAAGAGTTCGTCTCAAGCTTTAGGTTGTATTTCCAGTTGAACCATTCTTTCTCAAACGCTTTGTCGGCAAGAATTTGGATCGTTTCATCAACTGGTACATTGGTGAAAAGCGATGCAACATCATACGATACTAGAATGTCACTCTCAGCCATTTGTTTCTCGCGTATCTCCTCAGCAAACTTTAGTGGGTCGGAAACGGTGTATTTGTTAATCGAAAGGAATTTCAATTTCTCATCCAACCACTTGGCTAGCTTGAAGTTGTAAGTTCCCGTTGCTGATAGTATTGGTCGCATTGCTAGCTGAGGTTTATGGGTCTTAGGTAAACCGTAAAGGTGTGCGAGGCGGGAACCTTTTGGGCAAATTGAGTCAGCTATTTCTTTGGGTAGGATCTTTCTAACGGCGGTTTCGAGCTCTTTTTCTTTTCTAAGTAGGGGGTGGTAATATTTGACAGGTCTTCCTCTCGACTTTGGTCTTTCCAAACTCACGCTCTTGAACTTTTCCGTGTTGTTGATCGATGCTTCGTTTAGCAACTTGGTGTATTCGGACTTATCCATTACGACAACCCCTGTTCCTTTATCTGGTTTAGTGATAACGATATCGTCTCGTTTCTTAAGTTGGTTTATCGATCGAAGCAACGTCTTTGGCGGTGATGTATTTCTCCGTTCAATATAGTTCAGAGCAATTGATCGTAACGTTGCTACAGTTAGTTCTTTCTTATCCTCATCTAGGTTGTGCTCAAGTGTTCGGTACGCCCTTTCAAAGGATGCTTGTATATCCTTCGCTGACACAGGTCTAGGAATGGCAAAGTTTAAGCCTCTGTATAGCACGAGCTTTTGGAAGAATGTTAGTTTAAACGAAGAAATGTTTTTAATATGTTCATCAACATTGGTTGCTTTTGATAGCATTCTAGATATTTTTCGCGTATGAATCGTCATTACGCGTTGATACAAATCCTTATTGAGCCTGTTCATGACACGTAAAATGCATATGTACCTCAGTGTTGAAGATTTCCTCTTTATTTCCTCATAAATATCGATAACTTCCTTTCTATGCGCCTTTATTTGAGTTTTCTTTTGTAAAATCTCTTCTTTAACCACGGTTTCTTCGAAATCTTTCGCAGATTTCTTCCATATAGTTGCTTTCGGATTAGAAACCTTCGCGAATGTAGGTGTAAGAGCAAAGGATTGACATAACTCCAGAAATTCTACAGCGCATCGACTGTTGATCAGTTTTTTGCTACTTTGTTCAAGTCTCCTGAACAATTGTAGCTGCTCATGATTATCGCGTCTTAAAATTTTTATCAATAAACTTTTTGATATAGACTTAGACAAATATGATAGCGATAACAAATTTATTAAAGAACGACGTTTCGAAGTCATCTTGACCTCATTTTCAAGTTCAAATTATAACAGAAAACGATTAAATTAATATAAATAGCGTTTACATAATTGCGCAAGCAAACTAATTCGTCATACATGACAGTTGCAATTTTAAACTTAATTAACATAATTAGAATAATTAAACATACAAATTGATAACAAACAATTAACAAACAATAAAACAAAACTAGACGAACAATTATGCTAATATAGAATGTTAAGTAAATAGTTTTGAGCGTATCGAGTCCGATTGTTTGTTTAAACTAGGTTTAAGATCTTTAATATATAACATTTCATAGAGCAAACACTCGAACTTTCCCCGACATTTTCTCAATACCTTAAAGTTTTTCCCGATGTTCTTTGCGTCCTCGCCATGCTGTTGAACCATATGTTCTCCGACAACCGATGACTTGTGTTCATCAATGCGTTGATGTAAGTGTCGGCAAGTGTAACCGACATAATCTGCGTCGCACAGATCACATTTGAATAAATAAACAACGCATTGCTGATTCACAAGGGGTGGTTTCGTTTCTGCTGCTGGGAAGTCTGCGGCAATCTTTCTGCTTGTGTAGACCGGTTGTATTTGTCTACCGATGGTCTTGCTGAGGTTACGCAGCTGTCGCCTCACCGAGTCTGCTGATTTCTGGTCTTTAAATGGTAGCATTACACGTACCACGTTTTCTTTGGTGTTCCTTTCCTCGGCTGGATGATCGTCGCTTTCGCGTTTCTGTTCAGTGTACTTCGTTATGATGTTGTCAAGCAGGGATATAGGATATCTGAGACGAACGAAGGTTTTCTTCAGGCGTTCACATTCCTCGGTGAAGAGCTTCCACGATGATGATAGGCGGAATGCACGATTGAGCATGGTCAGGACGAGCGATTTCTTATACTTCACGTCTACATGACTATCATAATGTAACATAAGGTCAGTGTTTGTTGGCTTGATGTAGACTTTCGTTTCTACTCGGCCGTTCTTATTAATTAGGGTTGTACCCAAGAAAGGTAATACACCATCGGTCTCTAATTCCATAGTGAACTGAAGGGATGCATGCAGACTGTTGAGGGTGGATAGGAATGCTTCTGCGGAAGCAATGTTGCTTTGCGATGTGATGGAATCATCAACAAACTGGTGGTATAAGGAAGGCATCAGGTTGCGTTCTACCAGCTTTTCCTCAATTGAACACATGAACGCGTTCGCCATGAGTGGACCAAGTGGGGAGCCCATTGCAACTCCGTCGACTTGCTCGTATAACTTATCATCGATTTGGAATAGCTGATGTTTAACTGCTAACTTCAAGAGTTCGACAAGTTCGAATTTCTCAAGCTTTAGGTTGTATTTCCAGTTGAACCATTCTTTCTCAAAGATGCAATGTCATACGATACTAGAATGTCGCTCTCAGCCATTTGTTTCTCGCGTATCTCCTCGGCAAACTTTAGTGGGTCGGAAACGGTGTACTTGTTAATCGAAAGGAATTTCAATTTCTCATCCAACCACTTGGCTAGCTTGAAGTTGTAAGTTCCCGTTGCTGATAGTATTGGTCGCATTGCTAGCTGAGGTTTATGGGTCTTAGGTAAACCATAAAGGTGTGCGAGTTGCAATGGGCTCCCCACTTGGTCCACTCATGGCGAACGCGTTCATGTGTTCAATTGAGGAAAAGCTGGTAGAACGCAACCTGATGCCTTCCTTATACCACCGGTTTGTTGATGATTCCATCACACCGCAAAGCAACATTGCTTCCGCAGAAGCATTCCTATCCACCCTCAACAGTCTGCATCCATCCCTTCAGTTCACTATGGAATTAGAGACCGATGGTGTATTACCTTTCTTGGGCACAACCCTAATTAATAAGAACGGTCGAGTAGAAACGAAAGTCTACATCAAGCCAACAAACACTGACCTTATGTTACATTATGATAGTCATGTAGACGTGAAGTATAAGAAATCGCTCGTCCTGACCATGCTCAATCGTGCATTCCGCCTATCATCATCGTGGAAGCTCTTCACCGAGGAATGTGAACGCCTGAAGAAAACCTTCGTTCGTCTCAGATATCCTATATCCCTGCTTGACAACATCATAACGAAGTACACTGAACAGAAACGCGAAAGCGACGATCATCCAGCCGAGGAAAGGAACACCAAAGAAAACGTGATACGTGTAATGCTACCATTTAAAGACCAGAAATCAGCAGACTCGGTGAGGCGACAGCTGCGTAACCTCAGCAAGACTATCGGTAGACAAATACAACCGGTCTACACAAGCAGAAAGATTGCCGCAGACTTCCCAGCAGCAGAAACGAAACCACCCCTTGTGAATCAGCAATGCGTTGTTTACTTATTCAAATGTGATCTGTGCGACGCAGATTATGTCGGTTACACTTGCCGACACTTACATCAACGCATTGATGAACACAAGTCATCGGTTGTCGGAGAACATATGGTTCAACAGCATGGCGAGGACGCAAAGAACATCGGGAAAAAACTTTAAGGTATTGAGAAAATGTCGGGGAAAGTTCGAGTGTTTACTCTATGAAATGTTATATATTAAAGATCTTAAACCTAGTTTAAACAAACAATCGGACTCGATACGCTCAAAACTATTTACTTAACATTCTATATTAAGTCGTCTAGTGTTGTTTTATTGTTTGTTTAATTGTTTGTCATCAATTTGTATGTTTAATTATTCTAATTAAGTTAATTAAGTTTAAAATTACAACTGCCATGTATGACGAATTAGTTTGCTTGCGCAATTATGTAAACGCTATCTATATTAATTTAATCGTTTTCTGTTATAATTTGAACTTGAAAATGAGGTCAAGATGACTTCGAAACGTCGTTCTTTAATAAATTTGTTATCGCTATCATATTTGTCTAGATCTTTACAATGCAATCATAAACATTTGGGGTGAAATTTCGTGTCATAGGCACTTTAATATTTTTAACATACCGGTACTTGCTGCACAAGACCAAAAATACGAAGTTCAAAAATGCCAAGTTGTACACCTGGGAATGGTTGTGTCTATAGTCTTGTTCACCAGTGTTTGAGATATCAGGAAATGATAGTAACAAAAAAAGGCTGCGTTGGCATGGTAATTCGAGTTGTAATAATTCAAAATTAAGTTATTGTTGCATGAAAGCCAAAATATATCACTTTTATTAGAACTTAAACAAGTCGTTAAACCAAATACAGTAGTTTCAGCACAATAGCCTTCCGAATTTGGACTACATTTGGATTTTCTAAAGTTTTCTATTAAGTTAGAAAACAATTTTATTACCTTTTACTCTCTTTATCCAGGGTCCATTCCAATTGTTTCTGAAATTTCCATAACAATTTCAGTATTTGGCATACCCGTGAAATTTTTCTTCGGAGCAGATCTGTATTACTATGTCAACTTTAGAATATCGTTGTGTTTACGGGATAGAGAGGTGCGTCTTGCACTCATACCTGGTGCGTGGCTCACTGTTTACGCGGGTGCAAGTCTACCATTGATCATCATAGAAGCAGGTATTACAATGGAGGCAAAACTTTTGGAAACTTATCTCATCCCAGAACTATCTGTACGTGTAGACAGATGGCCATTAAACACTTGTATGGAGCTAAAAATGCGCATGACTCCACTAAGTATTCGTGTATACCTGTGGTATCGCTTTAGACTTTGTTTTGAAATGAGTTACAAAAAATGGTTTTCAATAAAAATTGGCATTAATTGGTGCGCAAAGAATACATTTGCGGAATGGACGTGGTCATTGCGTTCTATACATGTGACTTTATTTACGAATTGTAAGGCAGATACCGACAACACACCCCCTGGCGTAGGCGTATGTAATGCAAAGCAAGTCGAAAATAAAAAGTACTTTATTCAGTGGCAAGGTTTTACCGAAGATACGAACATAGCGACTTACGTTGTCACCATCGGCTCAATTGCTGGTTCTGGTGATGACCATTATTCTATACACGGGAAACGTCAGAGTCTTATAGTTCCAAATCTTGAAATTATGCATCGCAGATCTGTTTATGTTGGTGTGTACGCAATTAATGGCGTTGGTCTCAAAAGTGATGTTGCTTACTGCCCTATATTTACTGCTAATCGCGCATCACCCGTTATAACTTTTACCAACGACGGAGATTCTTCAACCGACATCGACTATCAAATGGATGCTACGAGTCTCGCTGTGAAATATGGAATCGCTGGGGCATTTGCGGAGTTATCAAATATTAGATGGGGAATCTCTTCGTCAGCAATGTGTACATTGTCTGAAAGTGAGGCTGATGTACTTCCTTTACAATCTATTGGTGAGAGTTACACTATTAAGAAAACTGGGTTGAACCTCACCAGTGGCTCGAAGTATTATGCCCGAATAGTTGCCGTCAGTCAGTTAGGGCTAGCTACAGTGGCTTGCAGTAATGGTGTAACTATTGACACTACTTCACCAGTACCACGTAACTTCACAGTCGGCAAAGGCGGCACAAAATTTATACCTTCTGTTCGACGAGTATCTGGAAAATTTCAACAATTTACAGACAACGAAAGTCCTATAGTTCACTACCAGTGGAAACTAATTGACGAACACACTGGAAAGGATGTAACATCATTCAGAACAATACCATTGACACAAACGTCTCCATTACTTGACGGCTTGAGTTTAACATCGGGAAGAAAATATACCGCCGTACTCAAAGGCACAAATGCCGCTGGTCTTTACGCAATTGTTAACGTATCGGGCATTATTCCTGATGATACGATTCCAGTGTGCGACAGTTTACCACGTGACGTTATTGGTTTCAACGACGTGGTTGACAGAGATTTTGTTTCCCATCTTAGTAATCTCACAGCGATGTTTAGTTGCTATGATGCCGACAGCGGTATCAAGTCGATTCAAGCGGGTGTAGGAACTTACCCAGGAGGAGAAAATGTCCACTCATTCGTTGATATAACAGATTTGTCACTAAAAGTGTCAGAAGATCTCAGAAGCATGTGGGTCACATTTGTTAATGTTAACATAACAAAACTGAGTCGGTATCACGTCACAATCAAAGTTCAAAATATGGCGGGTTACAGAAAAACTATTTCCTCCGATGGGATATTAATGGATACAACAGCACCCACAGTTATATCAACGTATATAAGAGATGGACTTCAGGGGATAGACAGAAAATACAGCAAAGAGTTCAACCTATTTCCAGCGCATTGGGAAAACGCGTTTTCCGACTCAGAAAGTGGAATTGGGGAGTATTTCGCGGGACTGGGATCGCGCCCGGGTTCAGGTGACCAATCCACGTTCAGAACTAACAATTTGAGTACGAAAGCGTTAATTCGGAGTGTTAATCTTAAAAGTGGAATGATGTATTATGTTACAGTGATTGCTTGTAACAGAGTAGGGATGTGTGTGAATGGCAGTAGTAATGGAGCAATAGTCGATTTTATTCCACCACATACTGGTGTAGTCATAGCAGGTCAGAAGGGGCCACCACTGGAAATAACATGGATTAACAAAGCAGCCTGGGCCCGATGGCAGTGGTGTTCAACAGACAGAAGTGATCTTAATACATCGCCAGACACTTGCAACGTGTTAAGTTTTTATGATCAACATTCAGGGATAAGAAGATTTGGCTTAACCGTACTTTCTTATGAGACATCTAAATTTTTGACACAGATAAAGACCGTTGGTCGTGTTGTTTCCGGTGGGATTCATGTGGTGATGCCAAACGGCGTATTTTCTGTAGTTGTCGAGGCAGAAGATCGTGCTGGTAGTCGCTCTAATGCCATTTCTAAATCGTTCATCATTGACACCACCCCTCCAAAGATTGTAAAACTCTACCATGGCAAGGAAAATGAACAAATTATGTATACACGCACGAAAGACTATCTATTCTCGGCGTTTTTTGAAATTACCGAAGACATTTCGGACATTGTTTCCTACAGTGTCGGCGTGTCTACGTTTCTCGAAGGAGATGACATTATATCCTTCACAAGGTATGAAACCAATGTCTCGGCCAACATTCGCGTAAATTGGACATCAGCAAATGTAAAAACTTTAAAACATGGACGGATATATTACATAACTGTGAAAAGCACAAATGCTGCAGGATTATTTCTGATTGTTTCGTCGCCACCTTTAGTTTTCGACAATGAACCTCCGTTAGTATCTCACGTTTTCGACGGTTGGGGGATTCTTGATTCTCAATATCACCCATATTCAAATATTTACCGCATGCATTGGCAAGCAGTTACCGATATTTCTGAAATCGAGAGAGTTGAAGTGTGCTTAAGTTCTATTCTGGATGGAAATGAGTGTAATCTACATTCCAAGGTGGTAATTTCTGCAAACGCAATGTCTTACACGTTCACAAATATATCTCTTGAATCAGGTGTATATTGTTATGCTTACCTTGGAATAAAGGACAAAGCTGGTAACCATGGTAACTTCTGGAGCAATGGAGCATTAGTTGACACCACTCCACCGAAAAAAGGCCGAGTAACAGATGGACACGGAGGAACGGATATAGTTTACCAGCGTTACACAAATATTCTTTATGCAAGTTGGTCGGGATTTTGGGAGAATGAAACTATTATTCACCACTACGAGTTGGCATTCGGCACCAGTCCAAATGTTTCCAATATTCAACCATTCACAGACGTCGGCGTAGTGACCTCAACATCCAGCTCCAATATTGTAGTTTCAGAACTAAAGAATGGCGTAGTATACTATGCACAAGTTGTCGCCTACAATATATTAGGAATTAGAAGCGATATCGCACAATCGGACGGAGTTTTGGTTGATATTACACCTCCTGAATTTGTATTGCCAGTCTCTGACGGAACAGTACTTCAATTTGACTTTGCGTATTCGAGTAATTTAACGTTGTTGTCAGCAAACTGGAAATGTGAAGACTCAGAAAGTGGGATAAGGCAAGTCTTTGTTGGGATTGGCACACAACCTGGTATTCAAGATATTGCAACGTATCGCGCCGTATTACCGTACCAAAACTCTCGCACATTTGATACCTTGAACCTGACAAACGGTCTCAGGTATTTTTCATCAGTGAAATGCATAAACAACGTGGGTTTACAAAACTCATTGTCTAGTGATGGTATTATTATTGATTCTACCCCACCAGTGTTGAAATACGTATACATCGGCAGTAAGCGGTATCAAGATTTGCCTTATATTGGACTGCGTTCTTTCGTAACCGCGAACTGGAAGTTCAAAGACTTTGAAAGTAATGTTATTAGATACATGGTTTGTATCCAACACATGCAAAATAACTCACAGATTGTCGGTCCGTGGGAATTTTCTGGGAATCAAACTTATAAAAATGTCTATTTAACAAATAATGACTTAAGACATAAAGAACGTTACGTCCTTTCAGTCATAGCTTTCAATGGCGCAGGACTTAGTACTACTAGTGTTAGCAACAGTTTCCTTGTAGACGGAACTGCACCCATTTGCACAAATATATATGACGCTACTCTGGATGGGGCTAGAGCTAACTTTACCAGCTTTACTTTAAAGTTAGCTGTTCATGCTAACTGCAATGATGTTGAAACTGGAATTTCTAAATACGAGTTTGCCATAAGAAAACTTAACACATCTGAATATGTTGTTCCTTTCCATAGTCTGAAAACAAATTCAGATGTACCACCTCTCGCTGTCGTTGGCGGGTTTGGGAAAAACCTTGTTAAACTTGAGCATGATGGTCACTATCAAGTTGGTCTTCGGGTCACCAACAACGTAAAACTTGCCAGCGAGTACTGGACATGTGGTGTTTCAATTGATACAACTGCTCCAATATTTAGTAGTGTTATGTCATTATACAACGTTACCAGTGATGCATTCCAAGTTACCTGGGAGGTGTTCGATAATGAATGTGGTATAAAGACCCAGTATTGGTCTTTCAACACATCTCCGAATGCTGAAAATATTAAAAATTTCACTGAAATTTCAAAACATGCTACTGAACTCCTAATTTCTGACATATATTTCAAGCTTGGTGAGACATACTTTATTTATCTTAAAGCTATTAACAATGCTGGATTGTCAACATTGTTTGTGTCACACGGTGTGGTCGTTGATCGAACTTCACCTTCACCAGGGCGTGTGTCAGCAGATTTTGTGCTACCAGAACATTACGATGGGAATCCAAACATGACCGATGGTGCTTCATTTTCAGTGAAATGGTACGGCTTTATCGATCAAGAAAGTGGTATAAGATCGTATAAATGGGCTATAGGACTATCTCAAGAAGAAACAATTGTGCTTAGTGATGATTTCTTCACCGATATCCAGTTCTCAGGATCTAAGAACAGCTACATTATCAAAGATTGGACCATATATACAGATACAACTTACTACGTATGTATAAGGGTTACGAATGGAGTTGGACAGTCCAGTACAAGTTGCTCAGATGAAGTACAAGTGAAGTTAGGAAAGCTAACGCCTGGCGTTGTATACGACGGGCCTATTGACGAAGATATTGATTTCCAACTTGATGATAAAGCATTATGGCTTTATTGGGCTGGATTTAAAGACCCAGTGTACGGAATAAGAAACTATGCCTGGTGTTACGGAGAATATACGAGCACGGAGAATGACACATTTAATTGCCTAAATTCGCTGTCATCTGTTCATCCACCACTTGAAGTTTCAGCCCACACATTTTATAACATTTCTTTACTACATGGAAAGCGTTATAATGCCAAAGTTCAAGCAGTAAACAAAAGAGACGAAATAGTATCAACAATCTCAGATGGTTTTACAGTTGACCGTACAGCACCTATTGCGGGAATATTAGAAATCGGAGGTTCGCATGGTACAAGGACAGTTTATCTTACTGAAATTATGGCTCCCATGGTATCATGGTCTATGTACGAAAGTGAAAGTGTGCTGCAGGCATTTCACTTTGGTATAGGCACCTTTCCAAATTGTAATGATTTATTTCCCTTCAGCAATCTTAATGGAAGTACGTATTCATTGAGTCTGGATGAAATAGATTTTAACTTAACGCACGGGCTCGCTTTCTACATCACTGTACTCGGAGTGAATGTTTTAGGGCTTGAGACGCGAATAATTTCTCCCCAAATAATTGTTGATTGGCAGCCACCCATGCCTAGCGCCGTGCATGATGGCAATGGAACAGATGATATTGATTTTCAACAGGATGTAAAACACATAAGGGCAAGCTGGAACGAATTTTACGATGCAGAGAGTGACATTGTGGAGTATTTATACTGTGTCGGGAATAGACCAGGTAAACGTTGATAAAATTGTTTTGTAACATAACTAAAATGTAACATGCACGCGTCGGTTTTATCAGAGACTAAATTGTTCACTATGTGCATAGGCTTTATGAAACACCAAAGTGAAATTAATGTCAAATGTGAAGTTAAAGAGAAATGGCAAAATAAATTTTTATTTTCTAATTTGAAAGAACTTTTGAAACTATATATTAACTTCTTTTACCGATTTTTCATATGTATTTTCCTCAGTTCTTGAAATATTTTCACTTGAAGTAATGAAATGTCCGCCAATTTGAATAAATATTTGATCTTATTAACGGCCGTCTTAGTGACGTCACAACAGGGATTAACCATATGAAAGTATTCGTTGCTGACCAAATATTGAATGGTATAGGTGTTTTAACGGTTTTGAGTGATCTTGATATTTCAAAGGGCAGACAGAGTATAGTTTTGAGTGCAAAATGATTAGTGGTTGTCTAGATAAAAATATTGCGTGACGCCTGTTGTGACGTGCATGCATATCTACAAAAATTGAAGATGGCGGTCAAAATATTTGTAAAAGTAAGCAAGATATGAAAAAAAACGGTAAAAGAGTATTGTTAAGTTCTTTGAAATAACAAAATATATTGCCATTTCTCTTTAAAATACTTTGCAGTTCTATTGTGCTTTGACCTGCATTTATGCTTATAGCTCTTAAATAATTAAATTAAAAATATATTACCTATTTGGAATTTTGGTATTAAATACACAAAAATTTTCATGTATCCAGACAGCGAATTTACATAATGTACTTTCTTTATAGATTTTTGCAATGTTTTAAACCGAACATCAGTCGGTTTGGACTTACGCGCGGAAACAGAAGTAGCACTTGAATATGGCCAAACTTATTTTGTAACCGTAACCGCCATTAATAGCGCTGGGTTGTCAACCACTTCTTCATCCAATGGAGTAACAATAGACATATCTCCACCCACTGTCCATGGGTTCTCGATAATGTCTACGGTCATGATTGATCGAGATATCACTAATAGAAACATCACTTCTGATGTCACTGCCATTTTAACAAACAATTGCAAGATATCTGCAACATGGGATTACATCATTGACAAAGAAAGCGAAATCAAACGCGTATTGGTGTGTGCAACCACGATTAGGGAGGATTGCAATATACTTACGTGGCGCGATCTTAACCCCGACTCGTCAGTTTTCAGTCTTGATTTTCAGAAGCCATTGCAATCTGGAACCGTTCTTATGCTAAAACTTCAAGTTGAAAATGGCGCTGGTTTGATGACAATCGTGAATTCAAGTACGGTTCTTATAGACAACAGCCCTCCTGTTAAAGGTTTTGTCAAAATTAACAACAGAGATGGTTTGATTTTGTTGCAGGAAGGCCAGCCGCTGCTTGCTCTATGGTCGGGCTTTAATGACTTTGAAACTGGCATTAAGGCGTATAGGTGGAAAATTTGTTTCGCAAGTAAAATTTCTGACTGTATCACTGAGTTTGTAAACGTTGGTTTAAAAAATAGCGTTTCTTTAAGTGACATAGGGTTCATCCATGGTAAAGAATACAGGATTGTGGTTAAAGCAATAAACTTTGCTGGACTAGAGACTCATTCTGTTTCAAATTCGTATATTATTGACAAAACGTTTCCAGAGACAGGCATAGTATTCAATGGACGTGATCCAACTGAAGACAAATATTATCAAAGTTCGCACACAGAAATTTCTGTCAACTGGAAAGGTTTTCGGGACAAAGAAAGCGGAATTTCTCGCTATGAAATCTGCATTGGTTCAATTCCAGGTCTCTGCGATATCTATGTATTCAGAAACGTTGGTTTGGCTTCCAGTACGACTGTGAGAAACTTAAATCTTACTCACAATGTAACCTACTATACTACGGTGCGCGTTACCAACGGAGCTGGCCAGACAGGTTTTGCTTCGTCAAATGGAATAATTGTAGATCTTACACCACCAATTGGTTCTGATCATCGAGACGGCAAGGATTTGGATATAGATATCTCGGCAGAAGACACGTTTATTCAAACCAACTGGGATGAATTTCACGACCCAGAATCTGGAATTTCAAACTATATCGTTTGCGCTGGAACTATCATTGGCTCATGTGATCTAGTGTCTCCAACCACGGTTAGTAATGGCCTTGCAGCAAAACTAACTGTCTGGCCAGCAATAAGTTCAGGAACAGTTGTGTACTCAACATTGTGGGCATTTAACAAAGCTGGTCGAGCGACAGAGATATATTCAGATGGAGTGCTGGTGGATACTACGCCACCTGATGCAGGCAAGGTCAGTATTAACCAGTGGTGTCAAGTAACGAAGTAAATGCGCTTCGTTACTTACTTGAGTACTATTTTTGAGAAGTGAGCATCTAACAAAGTAAACTTTTTCTGGAGTACTTTTACTTGGAACGAAGTCGTTTTAAGAAGTAACGTTTAACTTCGTTATTTTCATTTTGTGGCGACGTATTTCGTTACTTTCTAACTTTTGTTTTTATTTTATGTGATTTATTCCTGATTTATTTTAATTTTGGGATAGGTAATAGCCTTTACATGCGTCTGGGATCTCTCGTTTGCGACTTACTTATGAGCATTATTTATTTAATGGATTTCTTATATCTCCAACAGTGTCTGCAAAGTCACCATGCCGTGAAATATTATATATTAGGTGCACGCATATAATGCGTGTGCTGTTTTGTGTCTCTTGTATGTCAATCCATCGGAGAAGTCCCCCCCCCCCCCATACATGCTACAGACAATAGTACTTTTACTTATTACTTCAAGTATTTTTAAGGATAATTTGTACTTTTTACTTTTAAAAGTACGTTTTGCCTCCAGTACATTTATTCTTACTCAAGTCGTTTTATCGTTAATTACTTTTACTCAAGTACAAATTCAAAGTAATTTAGGCACCACTGGTATTAATTAAGTATAGATAATTTGCACATGACGCTACAGACGTCATGTTGATGTTTTAATTCAAAAGCTGCCAATATAAAACGGTCCCACTTCAAGAACCATTTAATTGTTTCGTTCGATCATTAATTTAAGATTATTTTAAGATATTTAAAATAATGCCTCGCCAAACAAACATTAAGGGTTTGAAACAATACGCAAACAATGTTTGAAAAACGATGGATCAACGCAGTGACCTGATCCTGGTCCTAGTAGTACGATCGCAGTTGTCAACATGATTGTAAATTCACATTTTGCAAATACGCGGCAATTTTATTCAAAATAGTAAAAAATAAACAATCTCTTATAATACAGCATGTTGTCTTGCAGTCAATTTCAAATAACTTTGGCCAGAAACTATGAACGCAAGTTTGTTTGGAAGTTTTTAACAAAATTCACAAACCGTAGATGTTTGTAAACTAAGCATTTGATTGCATTTTTAAAATTCGAGGACCAGTCACAGGTTTTGTTTAAAACTGGCTTGTGAATTTCACAGTCAACTGTTGAAACTTGCAACGAATTAAGATATCGAATATGACCTACCCGGGGTTCACCCGAAGACGACATGTAATTTACCTTAAGGTGGCTGTTTAAACCTCGGTTAAACTTCGATCAAAGAAATGGAAAAGGTATACTGAAATTTATCGAAATATATTCTTAGGTTGAAATTATTTCACCAAGCGCAACAGGTAGCAACGCAATATACCTTACCAGCAAAGAATCTCTGTGCGCATTATGGAATACTTTCAATGACAATGAAACTGCTATGGTGAGCTATTTCTTCTCCTTGTGCTCGAAGATGAACAAGAACAACTGTCCTATTCTTAGACGAAATCTGAACAATAAAACATCAGTATGTATTGAAGAACCGCCTCTTACGGAAGGAGAGACTTATATTCTTATGGCTGACGGCACCAACGAAGTTGGACTCAGTTTTACTGCCAAATCCACTCAGTTCATTATCGATACAACGGAGCCAGATGTTGGTGAAGTTATTGCATCTAATCCATTGGGAAAAGAATATAGTTTCATCTCGTCGAGCATAGTAGCACGATGGAAAGGTTTTTTCGACAAGGAAAGCGGCATATCAGAATATCTTATTTGCATTGGAAAAGAACCTGGTTTATGTGACATAAAAGAGTCGGTTTCAGTCGGCAAAGCCTCAGAGTATACTTGGTACAATTTGCGTTTGGTCGATACTGAGGAGTATTTTGTTTCCATAACAAGTGTAAACAATGCTGAACTTTTTACCGATTATATAGCCTCGGATCCACTCACAGTGGACACAACAGGTATATACTCTTCTGTTAGCGTTAGGTAATTATCAGGTGGTCGCTAGGTGATTATCTGGTCGAGTATCGACCGTGATAAGATTATTAATAGCAACGGAACTCATAAAATTCGAGAATATTTTCTAAGGAATGAATCACAAGCAATGACCACTTTTGCATTGTTGATTATGTTATTCTGAGAGCATACACGCTGGGTTGGCTGGAAAATTGTTTGATGTTCTTGTGGAATCGAACTGGCCACCTTTGGTCAGCTTGCTCGATCTGGAGGCCTCAACAGCACAATCACTAGCTTTATTGACTAGTTTAGCTTAAGCTGGTAAATCACAAAATATTTTCATTTTTGGTTGGAATTTATCCTGTTGTATTAATGTAACACAAAAAGTTAATGTTAAAAATTAATGTTTCAAAAACGAAAGGCAAATTAATATTTTAATAGCACGTTTTGGTTTCTTACAGCCCCACTTCCGGCTGAAATTTTCGACGGTTCTAAGAATGGTGAAGATATTGACTATCAACAAAATCGTGACCAGCTATCGGCTTCGTGGTTCAAAGTTGAAGACCCAGAAAGTGATATCGTAACGCTCAGCTGGTGTATCGGATCAGTGCCAGGATCATGTGATCGATTACGAAGCGCACAAATCGATGTGACTTCTACCAACATTTCTGCATTCCTCGCGTCACCAGCCAAAAACGGGAATAAATACTACGTCACAGTGACTGCGGTGAATGGCGCTGGTTTAAGCACTATAATGGTATCAGATGGAGTGACAATTGATTACACATCCCCTACAGCAGGAATGGTAGATGTTGGTCAAAATAACAAAACGGATTACATTAGGAATGGCGATACGTTCTATGCTTATTGTTCAAGATTTGAAGATTTAGTGAGCGGTATCAGGTTATACCAGTTTGCATTATGCGAGAAACAGTATATATCAACATGTCCACTGGAGTTTACAGATATTGGTCTTGAAACTAATATCACTTTGTCAGGTTTGTGGATCTTAATATTTAGTAGAATATTGCAGACCCTCACAAAACAGCAATATCTTGGGCTTTTGTTCTATAATTGGCTTAAAGTTTTCAAATAAATTATGAAGTTCATCTGCTTGAAAACATTTCTAACAGCGCTATCTTTAAGTGTTGGGAATAACTCCCGTAACAAAAGTTAAATTAGACATATAAGCAAGACGTTTACTGACTTTCGTGTTATCAGCTTTTAGCATTTTTGCACTAATTTCATCATACTCTATAGGTTGTTGTTATTACTCGCTGGGGCACCCTGTGCCCCAGACGAGTATAGGTTTCGGCAGCATTCTTGGATCGGCAATCTCTAATCGTCGATAGCCACAAAATAGAATATTAATGAGCTGCCTAATCCCCCCCCCCCCCCCCCCAATTATCCATAAGGCTCCTGCCAATTTTACCCGAATTATCCATAAATAACCCTGCTTTTTGAGGAAAATTCGGGAAAATTAGACAATTTTACAAGGAATTTCGCACGGAAACAGCAACCTTCGCAAATGGCACGTTTGTACGTTTGACTGCGCTGCTTTATATTTTGAGAAGAGAGCGACACCGTTCGATTCAGCGTAAGAAATTGTACTTACGGATGTCAAGTGTATCACTAAACACCAGTATTCTAGCGATTTATGGCCTTTGAAAATCAAGCGAAATTGTATTGTTGACAAATCGCTCGCAGTACGTCCTATTGTTGACAAATCACTCGCGCTACGTTTGTCCTTGTATTTGTAATGCCTTTATGGCGCAATAAGGATAAAAATATCACCGTTCGATTCAGCGTAAGAAATTGTATGTCAAATGTATTACTAAACAGCAGTATTCTAGCGATTTCTGGCCTTTGAAAATCAACCGAAATCGGTCAAATTGTATTGTTGATAAATCGCTCGCAGTAGATATTGTTGACAAATCACTCGCAGCACGTTTCATAGTGTTTTGTAATGCCTAATGGCGCTATAAGGATAAAAATGCGACTGTTCGATTCAGCGTTAGAAATTGTACTAATTACGGATGTCAAATGTATTACTAAACAACAGTATTCTAGCAATTTTTATGGCATTTGTCTTTGAAAATCAAGCGAAATTGAATTGTTGACAAATCGCTCAAAATTATTAAACTAATCATAAAAAAATGCAGTACGTTTGATCCTTAATAACTTTGGTATCATTGGTTTTCTCTTTTTCGGCCGTATACCAGTGGATTCGTCTCACTTCTCTCTTCATTTTGATAGTATTTTGAGCCCAAAAGCCCAAAAGTATTTTATTTTGAACGTTTTAAAGCGCAGTTTAATCCTAGCGTACGGACCAACTGGCGGCTGACAGTCTTGAAGAAGGATGTAGCGTTCTAAATATAACTTTTCTCGGGTAGCCAGTAGGGTAGGGCCTACCGCATTTTAGTACTGTGTTAAGCCTTCGCGCTCGTTTTCGACTTTTCCGCTTAGCTGGGGGAAAACCTTAAATCTTAATTGAAATAGCTGTGTAGTGTATGTATCATGTGTGATCCTGTACAGTAATGTGCGTATTTATATAGCCCCAGCGAGTTACTGCTCCGTAGAGCGTCTTGTTTCTTAAGTTGTCTCATTCTCGTACCCAGAGCCCTTCTTAAGCGCGGTGCGACAAGGTGCTCTGGCCAAATCCATAACCGGATACAATAAAAACATGGTAAGAAAACAATGTCCGGTGTTAGAACTAGCTAATCAGATGCCAGTTCGGAATATGGATTTGGCCAGAGCCCCTCGTCGCACCGCGCGTAAGAGGGGCTCTGGGTACGAGAATGAAGTTGTCTGACTATTTCCATTTTTATTTCATATTCAGTAATAGGTTTACATAATTTTCAAATGAAGGTTCAGAATTATAGGAATTTTCTTAGCTAACTGCCGTCCTACATTATAATTAACAAAATATTCATTAATTTTGTTTTCATTAGGATATTCACATATTACTACAAATACATGCATGCCGAAACCCCTCGCCCCCTAGAAAAACCACTATATTTTCCAAACATAAAGTATTTGAAGTGGCTGCCATAGTAACACGATAATTTTATTCTTTATATTTTTAAAACTTGCTTTAGATTTTTACAAATAAACTGTTTGGCTGCTTGTCCCACTGTTAACAAGTTTTCGGGTTTCCGAATAATAAATGTTTATTTTCCTTTTATCCGCATCACACTCCCTTCACTCCTGAACTTTGCCATACTTTGGAGATTAGTGAAGGTGTCAACCTTTGGATCATAGCCAGGCGCCAGCAATTATTGATGAACTTCGGACTTTGCTAGCTAATGTTTTCTTTTTGCCGGGTGTAATTAGGCGTGTGCAATTAGTACACTCGCGCCGGGTTTATGCCCGCAACGGCGGCTCGGGAATTAAATAGGCACCTACCGGATATAGGCTATTTTGCAATCTGATTGGCTGTCTACTAGCAGGATAATAACTTCTTATTAACCGAACGCGAGGTCTGTACTGAGAAATATCGGACCCAGGTATTTTTTGTACAGACACAGCCCGTTGGGCGAGGTGTGTACAAAAAGACCGAGGTGCGTTATTTCTCTATACATACCGAGCAAGCGAGGTTAATAAAAAGTTTACTGTATGGTATTTATTGGCATTTATACTTAAAAAACTCCACGAAAGTCGTGATTTGAAATGCATATCAGTAGCGTGGTACACATTTGGTCGAAGAAAACCAAAATTCCAATCTAATTCCTTCTTTTGCACAAAAACCATTCGCAGATATCGTATTAGTAACAAATTAATTATAATTTCAAATCTTCAATTAGTTTTGCGGTTTTGTTTTAAAATGCATGTGTTTGTTTTTACGTAATGGACCGAAAGTGCTTCTCAACCAATCAAAGTCCGCCACTTTACCGGAAATGATGTTTTCCATATACAAAAATTCCAATGTAAATCCTTCTTTTCCACTAATTAAAAGCCATTTCACTCATTTGTGAACTCTAATTGTTGTTGAAACAAAACAGACCTTAGGCGTTTTGGATGTTTTTTGTAGTAATTTGCAAAACTTTTTCTTACGGAAATGTAGAATTTTGATAAACATTTGTTCGTTTCATCAATATTCATGTCTTCAAACTCATTTGTGAATTTTAGCTGTTGTTGAAACCAATCTGTTGTAGAAAATATATTTTTGCAAACGTAAACAAAAGTCTAGGCAATTGTTCGGCAATTGAAAATAAAACGATATTTTGTGCGAAATAAAGTTCAGCGGATTTCTGCAACATAGTTCCTAGCTCGAAATAATTTTAAGTCAAATTTTGTCGCTTCTTTTGTGGTTTTAGGTGCAGCAGTTTGATAGATAGATAGATACTTTATTATCTTTCCCCAATAGAGGCTTTTCAAAGACAATTACCTAATTACATACAGAATAACTAATTTATAATAACTATATAATATTAATAATACAATTACAAGCCTATGATATATGCGTAAGAACCTAGTTGCTCAAAAACTCATGCAATAACTTCGTCTTCAAACGACGTTTAAAAAAATCAACTGATTCACAAAGTTTTAAAGAAGAGTCTAAAGAATTCCATAGACTAACAATCTTGTAATAAAATGTCCGTTGACCTGTTGCCGTTTTAAATAACGGAATATTAAGTTGTTGTGAATTCCTAGTATGATGGTTAGATACTTCCTGACGCTTTATAAATTGGGATGAAATATAAGCTGGGACACAGCCCGTCATGCACTTAAAAGCCATAGTGGCGCTACGATAGTACAACTGAGTTGCCACAGGAAGCTATCTTAGTTCTTTTAAAAGTGGTGTAACATGATCATACTTTCGTGCTCCGCTAACGATACGACAGGCAAAGTTCTGTACAGATTGTAATTTGTTTATGTTTTTGCCAGTTGTATTAGCCCAAACATTCGAACAGTAAAATAACTTGCTGAAGACAAGAGCGTTTATTACAGTGATAAGTGTTTGCCTGTCCAGTACATGCTTAACACGATTTATCTGACCGAGGCGGGACATACACGAAGAGATCGTCTTAGTTATGTGTTCGTCATAAGAAAGGAGAGGGTCAAAAGTAACTCCTAGATCTTTCACTGTTTCGGAAGGGAATATATTTTTCCCAAGTAGGGACAGGCTAAACTCATTTAGGTCCGCTAATTTGCGTCTACTTCCGAAAACCATGAGCTTTGTCTTTTTTGGATTTAATAAGAGAAGGTTGTTGAAACACCAGTTTCGCACTTTCAAAAGATCCTCATTCATATCTTCAATAGCACCTTGCTTGTTTTGTAGATGGAAGGAAACGCTAAGTTTTGTGTCGTTCACATAACTGTTAGATTTACATTTCTCTGGAACGGATGGCAAGTCATTAACATATATGCTAAACAAAAGAGGGCCGCTAAACAAAAGAGGGCCCAGTTTAAAATTACTTACTTCTTCATCTGTCACTTTGACAAAACGACTCGCCGTTATTTTGAAAAAACCGCTTAGGTGATTATCATGTAATAATCCGAGGTCGCTTGACCAATCAGCGGCCACAATTTTCGATAATCACTTCCGTAATTATGCTAGTAGAGAAAACAATAAAACATAATGGAAAAACTCGCAGCAACTGTTTACAGTAGCTATCTACAGTAACTCCCAGCAACCGTTTTAAATTTAAACTGTTTAAAAATATGTAGTAATGTAAGTGGCTTTCCAGCCTCTTCTTCGTGGTGGAGTTTAATGTGTGGTGGAGGGAGGCGGAAGAAGGTGTGCACGCATGACGTCATAATGTATGCAACGCGAGCCTGGGCAAGAAAATTATTATATCATTTTTATCACAAAAGTAATTGCTTGTTAGTGCCGCTACAAATTTTCCAAACATTTGATCTAAGCACAGTCTTTTATAGACAGTAGATGGATAACACAGACATAATTTTTGACGAGTTGAAACGAAACGAAATTGATGTTGAAAAATTGATGTCGTATTAAGAAAACTTTATCGTTTCATATAAATACGATGATCAACCAACATCGAGATCTGTACCATGAAATGAATACTCGTGGTCTAAACCTTGAACAAGTCTACAGAAAGGTCAATGTTACAAATACAATGTTCAAAAATCCATCGAGGCATGTCGAATTTAATAATTGGCCATCATCTTAGTCTATACTCTATGCTTTATTCTGTTTCATTATTATCATTAACAAATTACCTAAGATGTTGCATGATATTCTAAGATATTGATATCCTAAGGTACTGAATGATAATCTAAGATACTGTATGTTATGCTAAGATATTGATATCCTCAGATAATATATCATATCCTGAGAGACTGTATGATATCCTTAGATACTGTAGGATATCCTAAGATATTGAGATCCTAAGATACTGTATAATATTTTAAGATAATTAACAGTTATTCTACGAACTCAAGTCGAATATGAGCGGATAGCCGATGAGGAGCGTAGCACCGAATCAGCTATCGCTCATATTCGACGAGAGTGAGTGGAATAACTGTTTTATTATATACACAAGGTCTGAATTCACAGACTTTGCTTTTCCGTTATTTTCAATATTTTTCTATTTTGTTTTATCTTCGCTCTTTCGGCAGAATATTTTTTCAAAAATATATTTTTTTTACCATTTTAAATTTTAAAAATTCATTTGCTAACCAGTAAACAATTTGCGGGAGGTTTTTTATTGTGTTTTTAGTCCTGTAAAGGCTATAAAAAGCAAACAACTTGCCATTTTCTCGTTCGCAAAACATCGCAAATTCAGTTTGAGCCACCATTTAGTTTTTCTCTACTGGCAGGGTATGACCTAATGTCCTGCTAGTAGAGAACCAATCAGTTTGCAGAATACCTCACATCCAGCCCTTGTGTATATAATAATGTATGCTATCCTAAGATATTGATATCCTAAGATATTGCATAATATTCGGATCCAAGTTCGATAGGTTCGGAGCCACTCTAAATAGCTTGGAGCCGAGCTCTCTTGTAGTAGTCATGACTATAGCCTTAATGGTAATGCCAATAGTTTTAATAGTCATGACTATAGTCTTAATAGTTAATAGTACAGTCTTAATACTTATGACAATAATCTTATAGTCATTACTATATATAGTCTTAATGGTCATGACTATAGTCTTAATAGTCATTTCTATTATCTCAATAATCATGACTATAGTTTTAATGGTCATGAATATTATGACTATAGTCATGACTATTAAGACTATAGAGTCATGACTATTAAGACAAAAGTCATAAGTATTAAGACTATAGTCTTGATCATTAAGATTATAGTCATGACTACTAAGACTATTGTCATCACCATTAAGGCTATAGTCATGACTACATGAGAGCTCGGCTCCTAGCTGTTGGAGTGATTCTGAATCTATCGAGCTTGGCACCGAATATCATACAATATCGTAAGATATAAATATCTTTGAATAACGTACATTATCTTAAGATATTATGCAGTATGTTGGGATCTCAATATCTTACGATATCCTACAGTATCTCAGTATATCATACAGTCTCTTAGAATATCATACAGTATCTCAGGGCATAATTTAGTGTCTTAGGATATTAATATCTTAAGGATATCACACAATGTCTTGGGTGATTTGTTAATGATAGCAATAAAACAGAATAAAGCATAGACTACGACAACGGCCAATTTCAAAATTCGACATGCCTCGATGGATTTTTGTACATTGTGACGAATATTGAATATATAAAATTACAGATTTTGGCAATATTAATTCTAAGAACTGATTTAAAGAACGAGCAGCAGTTTTCATTAGAGAGTTTTAGATTGACGTATTTTCGTTTTCCCAGCTAACCGCAAACGGCTAAAAATCACGTGGCAGCCATCTTGCTGTCAGGTTACACGTTCGAAGAAGACGTTTCTACGCGAGGGAGGCTGTTTTCAGGTAGGTAGTTTCCCTAAAGGTTTTCATGCATTTTTTTGTTCTTTTTCTCGCGTATAGACATGGCACTTATGTTTATTATCACTATGACTTTCTTTGTTGCATAAAATAAGGATATGAAACTACTATCTTCGACTGAAATATTGTGTCGAATTTAGTCGATGTCAATAAAAAAATGGCGGGCAAAAGCATAGCCCAAATGCATAGCTGATTTACATTGTTTCTGTTGTTATTTGTTTTTCTCATAATTTTCAGATTTAAAGCTTTACTCTTACGCTAATTTTGTTGCGAATTTTATATAAAATATGTTTGTGTCTGATACAGAAATTGGAAAAATATCATGACAACGAAACCCTTTCGTTAGCCAAGCATACAACATGATCTTGCATTGGCTAGGGAGTTTACAAGCTGCCAATCACAAAAGCCAATGGATTGGGATGCTATTGCCCATCGATTAAGTTCACATTTTGGAAGTTAAAACCTTAGGCCTAAATCTAAATTGTTTTTAAAATCCGAACTGCAAACTTGTAACGGGTACGTCGACTATACTGGTTTGCAGTTTGTCGTAATAATAGAACGTCAATCTGAAACTCTATTATTGCTCCGTCGGGCGTAGCCCGAGGGAGCTTCAAAATGCTAATTGTCTGTCAATTGATGTCACAAAATGACCATTTTACAAGTATATCGGTGTATTTTATGAATATTATGATTGATTTTGTAAATATGCATTAGTGACCCATATAGTCAGTTTCAAAATGGCGGTTGCGTGATAAGTGAGCAAATAATATATCTGGCAATTTTCACCGAATTGTACTCTGTTCTTCATGGTGTGTCGTACTCCAGACTTACTCTATATGATTTAATGTATATTTGTTGGTGCAACAACAACAACGAAAGTACGAAACAGGTTGAATTAAGGCCATTAGAGATTTTTAGCATAAGCACACTATTCTACATATGATAATGAGAAAAGAGATTACATATGATAATCACAAAGAATACAAGTAAAAATACCCAAGAGACGTGCAGCAAAAGAAAACAGAGGCGAGAAATAGTGCAAGACAAACATTTATTTGCTTTTGAACTAACAAAACCATAAATCTCAACGTTAAAATGTTCGTTTAAATTACTTTCTAGTTCAAGTTGATTAATGTCATTCAGCGTCTCCAAATCACCTGCGATCACCTGGTGGATTCTCTCATGCATCATGCATGTGCATTCCTTTTGTGCAAAGCCAGATTTTAAATTACTTTCTAGTTCAAGTTGATTGATGTCATTCAGCGTCTCCAAATCACCTGCGATCACCTGGTGGATTCTCTCATGCATCATGCATGTGCATTCCTTTTGTGCAAAGCCAGATTTTTAGCTCCTCAACAGGCGCACTTGTCATGAAAACATATAGTCAAAGAAAATAGCTATATGCCGATGTGGGACATGAATGCATTTAAAATACATTATTCTAACAATAAGCTTAGCATTGGGAACAATAACGCGATTATTTTCATAATTGATGGTGACACATGCAGAATAGGAATCTTCGGAAAATGATGAATTTTTACAAGGTAGTGGTGATAAGTCATATACTGTATTAGTATTGGTAAAACCCGTCGTCGTTTTGCATATAATGTTTTATTATGTTTAACTGTTTACTTTGCAGCAGAATTAAGTCGTACGGAAAACCAGATGTGCTATCACGGACGAAGAAAAACAGCTAGTTCTCAAAGCATGAAGGAGTCCACCGGCGATTGGTCCGATATTCTCAATTTCGTCATTCAGAATACCAGCTCTGTCTGCATTACAAACCCAAGGCAAAGAGTAAAAATTCAAGACTACCCATCATCAATCGTATGCAGCGAATCTTAAATTAATAAGAGTATCCAAAAGGAAGCACGAGTCAGTGAAGCAGTATCGACGTCCATGTCTGCTGCAATACTGCATGCAGTCTAAGATTAAACACACTAAAAAGGCAACCCCGGAGGACCGTTATCACAACAAGATTAGCCTAGCGAATCTTGAGAAAATCTCAGAGCCTGAAAATGACGAGGATGAACCTATTGCTGCATAGAGCAGTGGAATAGAACGGACGAGAAAAAAGCCCGTGCGAGTGATTTAATTTAAACGAACATTTAAAATGTTGAGTTTTATGGTTTTGTTAGTTAAAAAGAGAATAAATGTTTGTTCTGCACTATTTCTGGCCTTAGTTTTCTTCTGCTGCACGTCTCTTGGATATTTTTACTTGTATTCTTTCTGATTAGCACATGTAATCTCTTTTCTCATTATCATATGTAGAATAGTGTGCTTATGCTAAAAATCTCTATTAGGTCACCAAAAAAGTTGAAAGCTTTAAACTGGTAAGATTTTAACATGCTTCTTTTCCATTTTTTTTGCGCCTATATGCGCTATATCCAGAAGGCTGAAGGCTAAGTTAAACGGAATCTCCACGTATTAGCAAATAGTTAAAACATAACTTTCTAGTTTCGTAGACTTTCAGTAGACATATCATGTAAACAACTAAAAAACAAGGTTACCACTATAGTCATGATTATAGTCTTAATAGTCATGACTATAGTCTTAATAATCATGACTATAGTCTTAATAGTCAAGACTATAGTCTTAATAGTCATGACTATAGTCTTAATAGTCATGACTATAGTCTTAATAGACTAAGACTATAGTCCTGACTATTAAGACTATAGTCATGACTATTAAGACTATAGTCCTGGCTATTAAGACTATAGTCATCACTATTAAGACTATAGTCATCACTATTAAGACTATAGTCATCAATACTAAGACTATAGTCATCACTATTAAGACTATAGTCATCAATACTAAGACTATAGCCATGACTATTAAGACTATAGTCATGACTATTAAAACTATAGTCATGACTATTAAGACTATAGTCATGACTATGAAGACTATAGTCATGATTATTAAGCCTAGAAAACGGTTTTCATTAAGCATGTCTTAGATCTGAAATACTTTTACTGGAGCTAACACTTTCGAACACGCTGAGTTCAAATCCGAAAGGTTCCCACTCCGTAGACCCACAGTTTTTTCACAAAATGATATTTTATCCAATTTCACAGCAATTTTTTTCATTCTTCAACGGCACGGATCGATGACGATACATCATTATGTCACTCAAAAGGACCAATTTCTATTAACCATTTTTCATTTTAACAAACGACCGGTTTTGGTCGAATCATTTTGAGTTATGCAATTTTATGCGTGTTGGACGTAAACAACATATCTTGTCTACAACTTTGAAAAGGTACAGATAATTCCTCCTAATATTCTTAGTTCTGGATCTATCTCTATAAAATCACAAGGACATTAATGCCAAGTCTTTGGGCTATGTTTTTGAGCTAAGAAATAATTCCTTACATGCGATGAAAATGTTTTAAGCAAAGGTATAAAACCGTAACCTATATGTAATGGAGCAGCATTGAAATTTCCAACACAGTTTCCGAGACGTAATTCAAGAGAAGATAACTTATAATTGCGTTTTAACTATTACATCAGTTGGTGTTTATACTGTGCGATAAGCGAATTTTATTGGAAAGGGGGCTTCTATATACGACGAAATCATCAAATAAACAGCTCATGCACACATTTCTCCACTTCGTGATAAGTTTACAGAACATATTTTATACTTTGGGACTGATCTTTGTCTTTGATGTGAAAATTTCTTCTTATAGTTCAAGGTCATTTAAGATTAATCCTGTCGTAAGTCCTCTATCTGCAACCATTCGACAATATTTCATTTTAGCGTTGCCTTTGCCGTTACGTTGGCTTCGCGTTACTTTTGTTTTAAATATCTTGATCGCGTTAAAAGAGTTATTTTTCAGGCCGGTGACATAGCTAAAAGACTTCGCATTAATGTCCTTGTGATTTTATAGAGATATCTCTAGAACTGAGGATTTTAGAAAGCGTTATCTGTACTTTCTCAAAGTTGTAGACAAGATAAGTTGTTAATGGTAAGATTGCATAACTCAAAATGATTGAGCAAAACCGTTCTTTTGTTAAAAGGAAGAATGGTTAATAGAAATTGATCCTTTTGAGTAACATAATCGTGTATCGTCATCGATCTGTATCGCTGAACAATGGAAAAATTTGTTGTGAAATTAGTGAAAATAAAAAAGCCTTTTGAAAAAAAACTGCAGGTCTACGGAGTGGAAACTTTTCGGATTTAAACTTAGCGTGTTCGAAAGTGTTAGTTCCCATAAAAATATTTCAGATGTAAGACATGCTTAATGAAAGTGAACGATGTCGGTTCACAACACCTGGACTATATATGACTAGGCTCCGAACTATTGAGACTCAGCTCCAAGCTGCATATGCTCGTTAGGCTCCTAGGTATTAGCTGGGCACTGTGCAGTGTAAACTGTGTGAAGTTGAACTGAAGACATTAAAATTCCGAGAGCTTTACTCGTACCAGACGTAAGGCCGATCAAAATGTATTCCAATAAAGCCAGAAAAAATTGCAAGGTTATCGTTTGAAGACAGACAAGAATACCAGAACTCTTTAAAGATAGAAAAGACACCTAAGTGACACGCTCTTAGAGGTAAACCTTATTAATTTTTAAAAACATAAAGAAATAAATGTGTTTTAAAACTAAACTTTTGCCACCTGCCGGATTTAAGGTTTACGCCCGCGTAATAAATAATCCCTATCTATCCATAAATAAACACTTTTAATCCATTTTCGACTGTTAATGACTTTTGTGGTATATGTTTTAGATATCCACAAAAGACAAAATTCCGATATATCTCGCAAAACCCACAACGTATACTAAATTCTTGTGCAAGTTTATACCCGCAAAACTTTAAGGTCTACGCCCGCGTAATAAATAATCCCTATCTATCCATAATAGACACTTAATAAATTAAACTTTGGCTTGTTTTCATTAACGACTGTTTATGACTTGGACAGCACACATTTCCAATGTGAACTTTTAACAAAACAAAAATTTCGATATATCTCACACAGTTACTGTAATAACTCTCTGTTCGTTTGTATTTTTTTTGTCTCAACCTCGCTGGGTGAAATAAAAATTGTATCCACATGGGGTGGGCAGGTTAATCACTTTTAATACTCCGTAATATGCAAATATCGATCATAACAGCGGCTTTGGCAACCATGTTAACTTGTGCTTGTTCTGTTTAAATTTACCATATCTATGTCTGGATTTTTTTATTCCTGGTTTGATAGTCCTTAACATGGTGAATATATCTCCAGGGAAAACCAAGGATGGTGTTAATAAAGTAGTGGACACTCTAAGAAAATTTAATAAAATCTTGTAAAATACGATGAATGCAAATAGAACTTTTATATTTTTTTCTATTGCAAAAATCTTTCAACCCAGAATATAATGCTGACCTAAAACACAGTGAAAATTTGATGGAACACCAGATACTATATATCATATTATTTCACAATACTTATCCCAAGCCTTCTGGACACCAGATGTGCAAGTGTTTATACTATTTATACATTTGAGATCAGAACTGTATACGATCTATAATTAATGATATATACTGTAGTGATATGTCTTTCATTTCTGATTTGTATGTACAGTATTATGTTACTCCTTGTCAAAATGCTAAGGTTATAATAAGGTACTTCCTTAATAAGGTGGTTATAATAAGGTAACTTCATTACCCTAGTTTCAGAAGTTTATAAAAATAAACCTCCGGAACCAGGTACAACTTCCTATACATCACTCCAAGCAATCCTGTTGCTGCCCTTAACCGACGGAACGAACGCCTTGAGCAGGCGTCTTGTTATGTACTATTTCAACAATGAACTTTTTTGTAACGAAAAGGTTAAATTACAGCAGTTCTTAACAACGCAAAAAAACTATGGCTAAAAAGTGCTATACTAAATATGTTACGTATATTAAGAATAAATTGTGATAAATACTAAAACAGTTAGGTTATACAGGGTGTCTCATAAAAACCGCTATGGAAATTGAACAGGCTGTCGTGTATCATAAACTAATAGCTAAACAGTTCAATTTTTACATAGGACGAAAGAGCTGTTATTAAGCTTTTCTCTGACACCTTTTTTAAACCGTAACGATAAGAAATGGCCACATACTGGTCAAATAAAACTTGCTCGTCGAAATCACATTCTTCCACCGTTGGGAATTTAAAATACATGAATTATGTAAAGTTGATCAATCCAAAAGCAACGCGAGCCTGCTGCAAGGTGTTTGTTTCGTAAAACGTTTTGATTACGAATGTTCTCTTTTCAGTGGTTAATTGAACCATGTTTAAATAAATCGAATAATGATGTTCTTATTGTCTCACTAAGACGACGATTCACGAGTTGAGCTCATTTTAGATAATTTTACATTCAACTTATATTCCCCATTGGGAATTGTCTATGTTTCGTTTTCCATGCAATTTCCAACAGTGGAAGAATGTGATTTCGACCGGCAATTTTTATTTGACGAGTATGCGGCCATTTCTCATCGTTACGATTTAAAAAGGGTATCATTGACAAGCTAAATAACTATTTCGTTCTATTTAAAAATTGAATTGTTTATGATGCACGACCACCTGTTGAATTTCCATAGTGTTCGTTTCTGAGACGCCCTGTATAGAGATTATATTCTAATATTGCCTTTCAAAATTATGAGGTAAAAAGGAATGCTTCAAGCGGTCCGTTTTGCAGGCATAATTATTAAATTTGCATGGTAATCTTTAATCGTAATTTTATGTATATAGATCCGGAAACAAGTCCGTCATTGTATCATTATTTATATTTTTTCTAAAGAGCAGACCTTATGCATAATGATGTCAAAAGGCTTGATGCTCGCGAGGAATGCTGTTCTTAGTAGCCCTCTTCCTCTCAGAAAGTTTTGTGAGCAGTATTTTAGCGCCTTCGGTTGTTGAACACACATTTTCGCGTCCATTTTGGCTTCGATTTTGCTGTACTTCGGTCAAAACAAACTTTAAAGCACCACAAAGACGGTTGTTTTAAATTTATCAAACATTGCAAAAGAAGTGGGGATAAGAAACAATATTTCTCACGCGCAAAATGCTCCCCGCACGGCGGCCATTTCGCTTGCAAGTGAAGGATTATCAATTTATTATTTTCTGCAAGTGAAGGATTGTCATGCTGCTTTGCTACAACGGGAATTTCCCATTAATGTTAGGAATGATGGCAGAAGTAAATATTGGACCATTTGCATTATAGACTAAATTTTGATCTAGACAAAAATTTCAACACAGCTTGAAAGAGCATCGCAAAATTAGTAATATTCCAAAGTTTCGATGCGAAATGTTGTAAAATGCGGATAATATAGCCCTGCGAAATTTGCAATTTTCAGTCATTTTGTATTAAAAACGGGAAATTCATGCCCCAACACCCGATTGGGCTGTCAATTTCCCATGCGTGATACAAAATGACTGAAAAACGGCAAACTTTGCATGGCTATATTATCCGCATTTTACAACATTTTGCAACGAAACTTTGTAATATTACTAATTTTGTGATGCTCTTTCAAGCTGTGATGAAATTTTTGTTTAGATCAAAATTTAGTCTATAATGCAAATGGTCCAATGTTCACTGAGCCTAAATTATAAGCAAGGCTGCAAAACCTGTTTCAAACGTCGCGCTTTTCGTGTGCCGAAGGCATTAAAAACAATAGATAGTCAGCTGAAATGCCTCATTATCTATTGTTTTAATGCATTCGGCACATGAGAAGCGCGACGTTTGAAACAGGCTTAAGGTGGTCAATGCATTTTTAAATTAACTATTTTTGAAGAGAACTAATCTTTTACAATCGATTAACTTCCAGGTCTTGATCTAGAAAATGGCAAAGGATATGTTGTAATTGTGCGAGCCATAGATTTTGTTGGTTTGAGTGTCGAAACAACATCAAATGAATTTATCGTGGATGAGACGCCACCGGTTTCCGGATGGGTATCGATTGTTAGTCCATCACCAACTGATTTTAATATGAAACAAATAACAGTAAGGTATGTTTTTACGTATCATTTTCCCCGAGCCGGCGGGGTGAAGTGCCGTGCGGGGGTACTAATTCCGCACGGCTAATTATACCCGGGTATGTGAAAACATAGCGGAGTGCAAAGTTGTCGTCCATTTAGTTTATGTCATGGACGGTTTTCGACGTTATGCGCATGGGCGAATACAAACTCTGTCGAAGTAATTGTTTTTCATTTTGAAAGGACGTATTTTACTGTTTTACAGCAATTTTTTGTTTTAAATTTCGCTAAAAAGTTTACAAAAGTACAACACGGTTTTTTTTCGATTTTAAGTTGAAATAAGCCTGCAGTTTTATGTCTTTGATAATTTAATCGTTGTTGTGCCAGTTTGGGTAAGTGTAAACATTTCAGTAGTAAAATTCCATGGGCCGTACTTACTTTGTGTAATTAATTTTTAAGCCATTCTTAACTCGATAATTCACTTTAATGCCAGCTGTGAATGTTATCGTTCATTTATAAAGCTAGCGCATCAGTTGTGCTTTTATGTTTGTTTTTAATGGTCTTAATACTTTATTTGATGGTTTTTATACTTCATCTGTTAAGAAAGGCGAGGGGTTGCTGCATGCATGCATGTATTTTCTAGTAGTTACATTACCGCGTAGAGTTCCTTGAGTACAGATCTCTACCCTAGACTAAGCGGATAGAGGTTGCCCGAACAATAGTTACCTCAATTCTTACTTTAAATATTATTTAAAATAAATCCCTATCGAACCGAAAGTGATTTGGTATTTTGATATAAAAAATATTAGTTGATACATGAATATTGGGACCTTATGCAAGCAGGATGGTAAAGCGGCAACGACGACTATTTACACAATGATATTCCTGATCTCAAGAAAAGAAATGAATATATAAAAGTCCCAAGGGAGGTTAAGACGTCGTCAGGTTAGCGCTTTTTAAAACGGAAAACCAGAAATTTTCACGTTTCTTGTACAACGCAAACCGCGACAAGTGGTACACCAAATTTACCCAGTGTAAAGCCTTTGTTTTAACCTCCTAAAACTGTAATAAATTCATACAGTGGCCAATACACAACAAATTTTGTTCACAATAATTTATTTGTAGAAGTTTGTTTTGGCTGTCGTTGTCGGATTGTCGTCATTCATGTTTAATTTACCTAATATTCGTTGAAAGAGGAACGGCTTAATTTACCAAGAAGCAAACAACCTACATGAAAGACTTTTTCTCTTATTGATTTTATTTTTAACGTCTCCAAGCCACACGAATAGATCTTGAAACCATTTGCTGCAAATGCAACGTGGCACGTTTTATTGTAACTAGAAATAATGGCAAGCAACACTCCCTCACCTTTCTAACTAAACAAATACATCTCGTAACATTGTTTTAACATGAAGCGCAATTGTAATAATCAACCGCAGACAGAGTGCTAGCTCGCGTCATGTGGTAGGTATGGCAATCCGATCATTCATTTTTTGAACCACAGTAAGACTAGAATTATCAATTTCGTAGAATATATAATCTACCTATACGAAATATATAATCTACCTATCTTGTTAAGTATTCTAAGAGTTTCGATTTGTATTATGAAGTATACGGTTCGAGAAGTATTAGTGACATACATATTTACAAACAACAACATAGCACTGTAGCTTAAAGATGAGCTAATATCTTAGATCTAATGTCATGATCTCATCTTATTAATTTAATTGATTTTGCTTTATCAGATGGGGGAACTTTTATGATTCTGAGTCTGAAATATCGAACTATGGAATCTGCCTTGGTAGATCACAAGGAGAATGCAATGAAATTGACTATTTACTGGTGGGCCTAAACACGACGTATACATTTGTTAACGTAACATTACGTCATAAAGAAAATTATTACGTCACCGTTAAGGTTAGCAACATGGTTGGACTTTCAACACGAGTTACATCAAATGGTATTAAAATCGACATTACTCCACCTGAACCGGTTAAAAGTATGAGAGGTAGTTCTTCAAATATTGATGGCATTTGCAATTCATTGTTTGATAGTTGCAATGAAGAGGCATCAGGTAATTTTCCAAATTGTTCTTATTCATTCTTGGTCCCTTTAAAAAATTAGAAGATTATTTCATATTACCTCTGCCTATATTTAGTCTGTATCACAAACCTTACTGTAGAAAGGTCTGTGAACATTGGCGCGGTTGCTCGTTCCTGCATAAAATTGCATCCTCTCAGTTTTGGAGACTTAATTTATTCAAATTTGACGTCATAAATGCCTCCGTATATCAAAATTAGAGGTGATTGTAAACATATTTTGGAATGTTAACCTGTTTCAAACGTCGCGCTTTTCATGTGCCGAATGCATTAGAAACAATAGATAATGAAGCATTTTGGCTCATTATGTATTGTTTTTTAATTTAATAAGGTGGTCTTCCACTCAAAATTTTGATTTTTTTTCACTTTTTTGAAAGTAGCAAAATTGTCATGTTTATTTGGGGGGAGGAGGGGGAGTGAATAGGGGTATACAAATCCGCCGATTTGAAGCAAAATCCGCGATCCGAGCCAAAATATTAGATAAATCCGTAATCTGATGTATTAATAAGATCATAAATCCGTGTAAAACATTCGCCAGATCCGAAATCCGGACAATTGTTTCTGTGAAAACCTATTCACACCCCCCCCCCCTATTTATTATATTTTCATGTTGTAAAGCTTTTTTAACGGTATTTCTTCGTTAAATAAGAAAAAAATGGGAAATACTGAACAAATGTGCTATTTTCCTCTTAGTAACCACCTTAGCAACGAATAGTTTACTGTGAATCTTGCCGATTGGTTTTGAAAAATATGTATTATTACCCACCCCTCCCTGATTTCTTTTTGGCAGAACGATCAGGGAAATTTAACACATGTTTACATGAAGTATTTCGTTTGGGAAAGTGATTTCAGCGAAAGTTCAGGCGAAGCATTTCCTCATTTGCAATTTAAATTTTCACATAATTAATATTTGTTCGGTGTTAAAAGTTGGTTTAAAATGCGACGTGCTCGATCTGGTTATTCGGGAAAGCGAAAATATTATGGTAATCAACACACACGTCAAAGAAACGCGTCGGAGAACTGCGGTGAATCATGTCGGCCATATAAATGAACAGCCAAAACGAAAACGACTATCAGCTAGGAAAATAAATCCTTCAAAGCCACAAAAGGTTGCTGATGACGGAATATTTACGGGTACACTAATCGTAAGTGGGATTCAGTTTGTTGATATGACAATTTTTTCAGGTGTTTAGCATTTTACCATGCAAAGAATGCAATGAATGTTGCCAATTGCCTTACTTTGAACGAAATGGGTTAAAACGAAAAGGGTGTGCCTCCCATCTTCAGCCACTTTGTTGTTCTTGTGGTTGGAATAAGTCGTTTTTTACCTCACGTCAGATATCACGTTTTTTTTTAAGTAAACAGGAGGTTTGTGTATGCTCTAAGATCCATTGGTTGTGGTCATGCTGCAGCAAAACGGTTTTGTGGTCTGATAAACATGCCACCTCCTCCTCGACCAACTCCATATTCACAGTTACATGGCAGAGAAAGCAAATAAGACGAGTGAATATACAAACATGGAGCTGATTTGCCTGTGGATATTACTGTGCAATTAAAACCAACTATGAGAGGCTAAGTTATGATGGCCTTTTGTCAAGGTGTTTAGATGGCAAGACTCAAAATCAGAATAAGTCTTTAAAGGTATGATTTGGGAACGGTTGCCAAAACAAACATTTCTCGGCTCGGACGTACTGCAACTTGGAGTACATGATGCTATTGCCCACTTCAATATTGGACGTGAAGCTTCTATTCAAGTTCTGAAGAACATTAGCATTAATCCTGGGAAATATTGTGAAGCTGAATGTTCTCAATATGACGATATGATAAGTAAAAAGGCAGACTATAAGGAACAAGATATATTAAGATTGCGGACCGAGAAAAGTGCCTCGTGGGAGGAAGAAGAAAAAGGGGGACCAGGATGAAGAAAATGAGGGAGAAACTTATGCATGTGGCTCATTTTAGATTGCATCAAACATTTTTGCTGAAAATGAGCTCCAATTATGAGGGATAGCTATATAAGTGAGCCCACACATTATCACTACTATTATTATTATTTCGAGCTGAGCAGAACGTGCTTTGCACATGTCTGAAGTTTAATCGAAATATTCTTAATCTACGACTTTTGGATTCATTAATATTAATTATGATCCGTTCAAGCTTTATTTGTTTACTTTTGTCCTGTGTTATACATACGCTCATTTTGTGAAAAGGATTTTGTGTCCTTTGTCCAATGCCGTTGTAATAACAAGATTAATGATCGTAATTCAAATGTTTATTCTAACCATTCTGCATCACATGGAACAAATGCGGAGACCGTCATCACTCCACCAACTACAGCCGCTGTTAAGAAGTCGGGAACAAAGTGTTGTTGCGGAAAGGTTTGTAAAGGAGCTCGAGGTTTAAAAATGCATCAACGTAGTTGTCGGGTCATCATGGGACTAAATAAAAAGCTATTAGAAAATGTATTTGAATAGGAAGAAAGCAACAACAACTGTGCTGGAGACCTAGATGATATTGACACCACCTCAGTTTACAATACTAATCAGGAGGAAGAATATCCTGAGTTAAAAAAGGGTATAAATCTTCCTAAAACCAATTCAGAATGGCTAACGGCTAACGAACATTTGAAATTTTCACTAATGTCTAATTTACCAATCACAAGTGACGATTTAAATATATCAATTAAACTACTAAATGACACCATTTACACCTACTTTGCTGGAAACTTCGGGTTTGTGGAACGTCTGCCGGATAAATTACTCAATGACAAATACAAGAATCACAGCATAAAGGACTTGAACAAAGCATTGAAACTACTTAAATTATCCAACTCTGAACTTGCCGAAATTAGATATGTCTTTCGGCTCGTGCGAAATAAGCTCAAATCTAACAAAACTAATGATAACATGCATAATAGTACCGATGAGTCGTTTAACCACGATAAATACTTTGAACGTAATTTCTGGGGATATGTCAAGAGAGTCATAAATTGCAGCGAATCGATTCTCCCTGCCTTCGATATGGACGACTGTTTAAAGTACTTTAAGACAGTCCTGACTAAGGTCAACCCAAACAAAAGATTTCAAATTCCAAGTTGGATTCCAATGTTACACGATCCCATTACCGAATTTGACCTTAAACCTCCAACTTACCGACAAATAACAAACATTACTCGCAAAATGAAAACATCTGGCTCACCTTGTCTTCTAGACCAAATCTCTATTATAAGTTTTAAACGTTGCCCATACCTCCGAACATATTTAACCGAACTAATTCAAGCAGTTTGGCTTTCTGGATCTGTACCTGACGAATGGATGAAAGCTTGTACTATATTAATCCACAAGAAAAATAGACCTTATTCATAAATCGTGACGAGGCCTCGTATCCTAGGATAGGGAACAAAACGCGGGAAAACAAGCGAAAACTGCTTGACAAGCCAATTTCAGATGCTATTGTGTCGACTTTAGCGGCTTGTTTCTTGGTGCTTTTTGCGATTTATAACGATTTTTGTGTGTATTTTAAGACTTTGTGCCCACAACAAAAGCGATAAACGAGTATATTATAAAAGCGACCGGTTTTTCTCCCGTTTTTGTGTGGAAAAAATGACAACGTAGCGATGGTGTTTATCCAGAAGCGAAAAACAACAGTATTTTACTGAGATTTTAACGTCAATATAAAGGTTAATTTTGTGAAGAATCAAGACAACTATGGAATGGAAGTATAATTTTTCGAATTTGACATGAATATGAAAGAAAATAACAGTAAAAAATCACAAGAGGACGTCAAATGTTATTGATTCGTACGGAAAAATATGAACTATGGCTGTGGCTCGATAACATTCTGCAAGCAGCTTACAAGTTTAAAAAATGAAGGCTACATTACCTGAGTGAGTTGTAATCCTATTTCTTCAACAATAGCTTCATATTTCTTACGATTTTGGTGTTGTATAGACGTTTTGTAGCCTTGTTGGTTGGTTGTTTTGGCTATACAAACTACGACAATAATACAAAGTCAAGGGTTTCCTTTTTTGATTGACTCCAGCATCTTTTGCTTTAAATATCACGTTATATTTTCTCAGAAGTATTTTTTCAACTTTCAAGATCAGTTTTATAGATATTATTTTCGATAAAAGCCGTCATATTCACGAAAAAGAGCTGCCATAGTCGACAGCAAAGAAAAACACATTTTGTCAATTTTCCCGCGTTTTTCCCCGTTTCCTAGGATACGAGGCCTCATCACGATTTATGAATATTAAGGTCTATGATGCTAATCTTCCCGAGAACTTCCGTCCAATAACTCTTCAATCCGTACCACTGAAAGTATTCACTTCAAGTCTCTGTAATGCAATGTTCTCTTACCTACTCGCCAATAACTTTATCGAGCACGGAATACAAAAAGGCTTCACCCCTCATATATCGGGGACATTTGAACATACAGCACAAATGGCTTATATAATCAATCAAGCACGAATAAGACAGCGATCTCTCGTTATAACCCTTCTTGACCTCAAGAATGCGTTTGGTGAAGTACATCACAATTTAATCCAATCTGTTCTTGGCTATCATCACATACCTCAACATATTCAACTCATGATTAAGAGCCTTTACACAAACTTTAAAACATCAATCATCACATCTGATTTTATCACCCCATTTGTAGAAGTAGGTCGTGGAGTTTTGCAGGGAGATTGCCTCAGTCCATTACTATTTAATCTATGCTTTAATACTTTTATCCAGCACATAAAATCGGAGAAATATCAACAGTTCGGTTTTTCCTATAAACTTCTCAACCCAATTCATTGGTTCCAGTTCGCTGACGACGCAGCCGTAATAACCGGCCAAGAATCTTAAAATCAACACCTACTAAACCGTTTTGCAATTTGGTGTCAATGGTCTGACATGATTATTCGGGTAGATAAATGTAGCACCTTCGGCATCAAAAAAGCTCTTACCAAATCAGTTCAATACCTCCCTAAGTTAATCATTAACAAGTCTATTATTCCGGCTATTGAAAATGGAAAATCATTATGCTATTTAGGAAGGTACTTTAATTACGAAATGACAAATAATGAACATAAATCGGAATTAGTATCCCTATTGACAGACCTAATGAAAGAAATAGATCTGAAGCCATTACATCCGAGAAACAAGATTCTCCTTTACAGTCGCTACGTTCTTTCAAAACTCTCATGGCATTTCACTATAACATCAATTAAAAAAACGTGGATTTCTGAAAACTTGGACTCAGTTTTCAAACAGTACATTCGTAAATGGCTTGAGGTACCTATTTCTGGATCACTTAGTAATATTTACCTAACCAGTAACAAATTTGGTCTGAACATTATCCCCCCATCAACTAAATTCATACAATGTCAAATAACTATCCGCTGTGCTCTGAAGTCATCTCCCAATGAATCAATAACCCACCTCGGGATATCGACTTGAAATCATACTAACACCCAATATGATCAGTATACGTCGACAAAAGAAGTAATTAAGTCATTCCGTGAAATTCAAGAAGATAAATTGGAAAATCAGTTAAAATGCCAAAGTTCATTCTTCTCCAGCATCTCCAAATTTCCACTACCCCAAGTAAATTCGATTTGACCAACCTGTCAATCCAAACTACCAAAAAATATTTTCAACTTCACTATTCGCTACATAAACAATTCGCTACCAACCCGCAAAAACCTTCAACGATGGGGACTGTCCTCATCCTCTGAATGCTCGTTTTGCCTTAAACCTGAATTTTTTTACACGTTGTTGCCGGCTGCAGTTCTTACCTTGATCGTGTTACTTGGAAACACGACTCAATCCTAAATTTTATTGCTACTAACCCCCCATTAGAACATATTCGGACCATTTATGCTGACTTACCATCATTCTCTAATCCCTCTATTATTACTGGTGATGACTATCATCCTGATTTACTAATTTTGACCAAAGACAATTGTCTATATGTACTCGAACTAACCGTTGGATTTGAGACTAACCTAAGGAATAATGTACAGCGTAAATATTCAAAATATAAAGAGATGATCATAGAACAAAAGAAAAAATTCCATCCGGTAAAGTTCATTAATCGCTCAATCAGTGCACTCGGTGTTTTTGAAAAAGAATCTTCAGCTTTAATACAAATGTTGGAACATTTAAACTCAGATATGGCCGGTGTTAAATATATAATTAGGAAAATCATTAATATTGCAATAAGAACGACATATTACGTTTTCTGTTCTACGGAAACAAGGACTGGTCGAATCCAGACTTAATGAACGTCTAGCTAGTCTCTTACTTTTTGTATCATAGAATTATGTCCATGTGTAGTGTAATAATGTATAGTGTATCAAGTAACCAATTGTAAATTACCTTTAACAGTGAGATTTGCAATTGTAAGTGCATAAAAAATTCAATAAAGTTTTTATTATTTTTTCATTATTATTATTATTATTATTATTATTATTATTATCAGTCCTGAACTTTCTTGCTCATCAGTTACAAACTGTTGACGGTTCTACTCTCTACGCTGATCTAAATGGATTCAAAAGCCCTTCAATACTTACTGGTGATACGTATCGCCCAGATTTGTTATTATCGTGCTCAAATGGTTCCTTATATGTGGTTGAACTCACCACTGGTTATGAGACAAACCTCAAAAACAACGTAAAACGGAAGAGGGATAAATATAGAGAATTATTGAGACAGCTAGGTAAAAATTTTAACCAAGTTAAATTTATAAACCTCTCCATCAGCTCTTTAGGTATTTTTGCAGAAGAATGTTATACATTTTTAGACATGTTAGATAGTATTGGTCTTGACAAAAAACACCAAATGTACTGCGTTAGGAAAATGATGACTATTGCTATTAGAACTACATATTACATTTTTTGTTGCCGAAATAAGGAATGGGAAAATCCGGATTTACTAACAATTTGACTTATCTCATTGTATATATATATATATTGCATGCACTTTGTTCTGTTATTTTAGTTTAGTATAATTGTGATTTAAATAGCCAACCGTAAGTTACCTTTATGAGAGAGATTTACGATTGTATATGTATGTAAAGAAAAACATTTAATAAAGTTTCCATTATTATTATTATTATTATTATTATCGGAAAAAAGCCAAATATAAAGAACTAGTAAAACAACTAGACGAAAATTTTAACGAAGTAAACTTTATAAATCTTTCTATGAGCTCCCTAGGTATTTTTTGCGCAAGAATGCTCTACATTCTTAGAAATGTTAGGAAATGTTGGTCTGGACAAAAACTACCAGACGTACTTACTGTGTTAGGAAAATGATGACTATTGCCATTCGAAGTACATACTATATTTTTTGCTGCCGAAATAAGGAATGGGAAAGTCCGGACTTGTTAACTATTTGAAATATCTGATTGTCTTGTATATTTATATATTTTCGTGTATTCTGTCTTATCATTCTTATTAGTTCATATAGTTGTGATTCAAATAGCCAATTGTAAGTTACCTTAAATTAGTGAGATTTACAATTGTATATACCGTATATAGTATATAAACAAAATTATTAAAGTTTCCATTATTACCTCCGCCAGGAGGTTATGTAATCATCTGGGTTTGTATGTTTACCTCCGCCAGGAGGTTATGTAATCATCTGGGTTTGTATGTGTGTGTGTGTGTGTGTATGTGTGTGTGTATGTGTGTGTGTGTGTATGTGTGTGTGTGTGTATGTGTGTGTGTGTGTATGTGTGTGTGTTTGTCTGTGAGCACGATAACTCAAGAAATACCAAACATATCCGTACGAAATTTTGTGAGTGCATTTCCCATCGGCCAAGGAAGAACTGATTAAAATTTGGTTGAATTTGGTTAAAAATTGAACGAGAAAAGAACAAACGTTTGTCTTGCTGTTCCCGGTCAATTAAATAAAACTTTATACTGAATGCGTAATTAGGACGTGCATAATATATGCATCAGCTATTCAAATTATAATAACAATAGATTACTTCAATATTTTGCGCGTAGGCGGAGGTATGCAGTCTCTGAGTGCCCTCTAGTTATTATTATTATTATTATTATTACTTTGAAACTTGATTTGTTCCAATTCAGAAATTTAGCCAACCCGCATTGTTCTGAAAAGGATATCTCAAGAAATACTAGTAGTAATTATTTGAAACTTTCACAAATGCTTGTTCTGATATTGCTTTGTGTTCTGAACCAACAAAAATGACAAAAATACTATAATTTTAGTAAATGAGTGACATGTTGCTGTTAGGCTCGGGCAAAATTCTCCTGATTTGTTAGAAAAATTTACTATATTTTTACTTGTAATAAAATATATTAGTATTTTGGGGGTTCAGAATATAGAGCAACTTTTTCTGTACACTCTAAGCCTTTTTTGAGAAATTTAGACCACTGGTTCTTAAGTTATCTTTTGCACAAAACATGGCCGTTTTTCACAGTTGGGGGCCTCTAACCTGGTTACCATGGCAACAACATGTGTATCGAAAACATAATTTTATTTAGTGTCACTTTTCCTTCCAAGGGGTACAAAAATATATAATTATAACCTAATTTTAAACTTTTTTCAATTTTGAGTGGAAGGTTATATATGTATATACATTAACAAATTATTTAGCACATTTTAGCGCAGAAAAGCAATTACATAAGATGAAATTGAAGGTGGACTTTAAGGACCACCTTACAGTGATTAATCTTAATTCGAATGTTAAAATTTACGGTATTACATAATTATACATAATGCAGCTGTGACACGCATTTTTTCATTGAAGAAAAACTAAGAAAGTTCTCAATTATTATTAGAAAGCATAAAATGTACATACTGTATTTGATCCATGGGAAATGTTTCCCATTTCAGTTGGGGTATATAATTTGATCTTCGGCCAATGTGTCTCTTTATATATGTTCTACTCTCTTTTGCGTATTGCGATATGTAAAGAATTAAAATGTTTACAAAATTAATGTTATTTTCTTCTTATTTTCTTGCTTTATTATAAAAATTAGCCTTAAATAATATTGTACCAACGTTAAAAGGTCATGATGATGTTGGACACAAAAATTACTAGTCTTCGGAAACATTACCTTTTACTTACAGTATTAAGATATTTACGATTATGTCGCTAAGTTTGATTGGCTAACGTAAGACAAATGGAATGGAATGTTGTGCTCGAGTGAGCAGCCGCTCGTGGGGAGAAACCTCGGCACAAAGAGTGGTTGCGAGGGAGATTAAAAAATTACGGGAACCACTGAGTATTTTAATAAAATATCTTTTTGATAAAAATAAAAATAAAATAGGGCTACCTATACCTTATCTTGCCAAAAATATGCTACCCGACTAACCCGCTCATTTATACAGAGAATAACCCCACTACTAAAATTAAAATGCAATTTCGATTTCATCATTAATTGGAAAACTACTAACTATGTTGTTCATTATTGCCAATTTTCCCTAAAACAGCTAAGATTAATACGTGTCTTAAATGAAATACATACAAGGATTAGCTTGTATTTGAAGCTAACCTTTCTGTTTCTGGATTTGACATTATTAGCACTTGTTGCAATAACATTTTTCAAGTTTACTTGTGTGACAGATTTAAAACAAAAACATGAATACCTGTCGTGTATACATATTTTACATAATCCCTCTTGAACACTTTTAGACCTTTAATATGCTGTTTTGTTTAAATATAGGCTCAGAGAAAGAGAATAAAATTAAAATTTCATGCAGAGATGACCTGATAAAAGTCACGTGGCGGAATCATGAAGATAAAGAATCTGGTATAGCCTTAATGGAATGGTGCATTGAAACTATCAATAATACATGTAATATACAGACCTGGGAATCTCTATCACCGAACATATTGACAGTCTCTGCTACAATACATTCTCTTTCTACGATGACAGGTATCCAAGGGGTTGTTCGCATTACAAATGGAGTGGGAAACTATGTTCTACTCAAGTCTTCAAAATGCAATCCCGAACGAATTTTTCCTCCTCTAATTAACGTTTCAATCATCCATGAATTGAATGATTTGACGCCAGTTTCGGTTTACCAAACCAACACAGACTTAATCATTCTTAACTGGTCATTACCACAAAATAAATCTTTGTATTCTAGTGTACACGCTGCTTTGGCCAATTACGACCAAAATGCAATCGGAACTATTCTTGGCCTTGGTGTAAAATGGCATGGAGAACATCTTGTTTTTAATTTCGTGGAAATCCCGAACGGAAAGTCGCATATAATATTTAGTGGTAATACCTTAAAGCCCTACGTCAAGTATCGCCCGATCTTAAGACTCTGCAACAAGCTTGACCTCTGTACCGATTCCAGTGGAGATCCGATAGTAATAATTCCAGACGCACCACCTGATTTACAGATTAACACGACGGATACAGTTGAAGGAACAGAGCAAGATCGTTGGCAAAAATATGTTGGCGGAATCCCAAGATTACCACGCGAAATATTTGAAGAAACCCTATTTGTACCAGATCCCTTTAGTTTACTGATTAAAGCCAGCCTTAAGAAAGTAAACGAAACAACACTTTTTAATAAGTATGTCGCTACAACTTACAAAGCAAGCGTATATCGGGTTACGTCTGGTGCGAACGAAACTAGAAATGTAACAATGGAGAATCAAACGATATTTAATGACTCTCATCTTTATAGCAATTTGGATGTTTGTTGCTCCAAAACAAATAAGCTACCACAAATTGTGTATCTAGATCGACAGTTCATGCCGGTAGAGGAAACTAACTTATTTGGTGTCACGGTTAGTGCTTTTGGCAAAGACGTAATTGTGGCATCTTCCCAAAATGCAGTTTATATGTTTTTGATAGAATCACTACATATCACGCGCATTGCACACATCTCTTTCAATACGAGCAACAGAGACAGTTACGTCAAAGTTAAAGCAAAAAATGGTACAATTTTGGTCTTTGTTGCGGGGTCATTGGTATTAAGGAAGCATAACAAAGACAACCTCACTTCGCAAAGCTCATTAATTTATATAACAAACTGTAATTATACAATGACAGGTACACCTGAAAATTGCTCGGGAGATAACCAATGGTCTCCATTAAAAAGCGTTGGAGCCGAATTTGCATACGATGGAGCAGATGTCATTGCTGTGAGCGGTAAGGATCCTTTTGGATGCTACCATGTTGTTGCTGCTTTTAAGAATGATAGTAACTCGTGGAAATTACATCAAGTACTTGGACATGAAGAAAAGGACTTCACCACTCCCAACAGTATCTCAATAAATCAACAATTCATGGTAATAGCAGGTTCTCAAATTCGTATATATTCAAAGAGATTGGATTCTTCCTGGAAAGCAGAAATAGCTATTTCAGAAAGCTTGCCTCAACATTTTTTTGGTGCAAAAACCGTGTATTTGACGAATGAAAACGAACTATTCGTTCTCATAAAGGAAGCGAGGACGTTGAATGTTTTTCAGCTTGTGACCACGACAACAAAGGCAATACCGAGGTGCAAATACGTATTTTCTGAAAACGTTGAGCTTAGCGGCAGCTTAGATGTCTCAGAAAGCAGTGCGATTGTTGCTGCAATTGGAATGAGATCAGGTGGACGAGATGGAGCGGAACTGATACTTTACGAACACAACGAAGGTTGCATAAGGATAGGTGCAGTGCTTTCTAAATCAATGTCGCGCTTTGATGACGGTCATTTTGGAACATCCGTGGCCATTACCGGAAATCATATCATCATTGGTACTCCCGGAAAAGTTACTTGGCCAACCAATTACGTGAATGTAGGATCTGGACGATTATATGTAACGACGTTTTGTAAACGGAATCACGTGCGCAAGAAAGTTTTCGGTGCTGACCAAAAAGAACGTGTCGTGTGCACTCCGTGTGGACGAAACGAACAGGCATATCCTGGATTTGAAGAACAGTGTACTAATTGCAGCAACAGTATTTGTTTGAATCGCTCGACGGATGCAATATTTAAGGTTTCACATTGTGAGACTTACCCTTGCACCGTACAGAATAATCGAACCATTAAGCAAAATGTGTCTAGAGATAACCTAACCGTTACTGAATCGACACAAAACTTCGAAGAAGAAGAGTTCTATCAACCAGGGTCCAGACAGAGTTATTTTATCAGACTGACACAGTTCTCAGCGACGGGAACGACAAAAATCTCCGATAGCTTTCCGTTTTCTATTGATTACACCTCTCCCGAGGCTGGTTCGGTTTTCGATGGGTTAGGCAGCGATGATTCCCGAAATTGTTCGACAAATACGACGTTCAGTTCCGAACACCAATGCACAAGCCGGAGTTTCTCTGAAACGGACTTAGATTACACCAATAATACTTACGAAATTAGTGCTCGATGGGTCGACTTTCGTGATAACGAGAGCAACGTTGCACATTATTTCTGGTGTGTAGGTTCAAGACCACTTCATGATGATATTATGGAGTGTGAAAATGCAACAAGTCGTCTCAATAAGACTATCAAAGGCTTATCTTTGCAACATAATGACCAGTATTACGTAACTGTATTAGTATGTAACTACGCTGGATTATGTACGGCCAAATCAAGCGATGGAGTTTTGGTTGATAGTACTCCCCCAATAATGCATTACGTGAGAGATGGATTGGTCGGACCAGATATCAACTTTCAGGTGAATTTAACTTATTCTGATTGTTAATTATGTGTGATAGGAAATACAATTGCCAGCGCAATTGAGATAAAACATTCACAAGTCAGTTTTTGAAACAGCATCAAAACAGTACGAGTCAGAAGGACGAGTGCTACTTGAGGACTTTAAAAACTCACAAATGTTTGATTTATTCCAATTTTCACGACAAACAATCCTTTTACGTATTAATCCAGAGCCATTGGCCCGGTGCGCCGTTCCGGGCGTAAGCCCGGGGCAAAGGCACTAATTCCGCACGGCTATTTACACACTGGGAAGGTAAATACTGTAGCGAAACGTTTAATAGAAGGAAGCAAAGTGGCCGACGTTAATGAAGGTAAGTTTGTTTTTAATATTGATGTATTGTTTGCTTTAAATTGCTTTAAAAACTGATACGAGCAAATAATTTCAGTGTATTTTTATAAATTACCCTATTTTATCATATTAAAATCTTTAAATACAGAGGAATACAAAGTTATTTTCATGCGAGAATTTGAAATCAGTTTATTTCTAACTCAATGCTTACCGATAAAAGACTTAGTTTAGTCTTAAAAATATTTCAAAACGTTTTGCGAAGCGTTTGTGGTTGAATTTTACATTAAATTGAAGATTATATTACGTATAATAACATACCCAACATACATATACGTTTGGCAAATTGATCATTGTGTAGTTAAAAGTGATATTTTGGGGGGATTTTTCAATTTTAATACTGTTTTTAGTATCGATAGGGAAAGATTTTCAACTTTTTTTATTGTTTTTGAGTTTCAAATTGTCTTCTCTTCTCGGTATGTTTTGGCGCGACACGTGAGAGGTCCGTTACGTGAGTGCGAAGGCTCCATTTACGTGATGAACCTGGGATTACGGACCGGAAAAAAATAGCCGGTATCACTTGAAAGAGCGTTTGATTTAAGAACATGTCCGGCGTAGGACATTACTTAGGGAGTTTGTAACAAAATACTTATTTGGATTTAGGTTTTTACGAATGTTATGTTCGGTAACTGGAAAGCAGAAGACTCCGAAAGTGGCGTGGTGTCATATGAGATATGCTGGGGGTCAGAACCTGGCTTGGATGACGTCTGGGAATTCCAAGAAATAGGAAATGCTTCAAGGTGGTACGCGAAATTTGATAACGGTGGTCTGGAAAAAGAGCGCACGTTTTATGTCACAGTCAAAGCGATAAACGGAGCGGGTCTTGAATCTGAGCCAATGACATCTGACGGGATTACAGTTGGCAAAACAGAATTTGTGTTCTCGAAAAATGATTCAGGCTCATTCTTCTTCGACACTGTGAATGTTGACTTGAACGAAACCAGGGAAGACACAGATTTCGGTAATACATTTGGAACTGTAGATGTCCCAGCTGGAGCTGTTGATGATGATGTTAAATTTCAGATGTATAGTCTTGGAGAAAAGGAATTCGAGAATGACACGGGCGTCAACACAACTATTGTCAACCCGGAAGTCTTTAAACCACCCAAGGTAAAAATACATTTTAAAACTAGAGGGCATGCATTAGGATACTACAGAAGTTAGCATAAATTGCATAAATTATATAATGGGTTGGATTACGTATTTACTTAGCCTACGGTGTAGACCCCAGCAGAAACATGTTTCGTGAGGGGTCTACGAATGAACGAAGAAAAGCTTACCCGACCGTCATATCCGTTTTACGTTTTGGGTAAATTAACTTCAATTTATTCAAATTTCTGAAGCGTGCGTAAATGTAAATTTTTATTTAGCGCTTATTAAAATGTTCCATGGCGGGCTTTGTGCAATAAAATATGTACCCTAATACCCTGACTATACCCAGCCATTAAACACATGTCCGAACGGACTAAAAAGTTCTTGTCATTCGCACAAATTGTTAGGCTGTTGAAGGCTTGAAGCTTGTCAAGACATCCAATTTTTGAAGTCGAAAACAAAGTCGATTTCACACTAAATGTAGCCGGCATTTTAGCTTTATCGCAAGTCGGCTCGAATCCAAGTTTTCTCACAACATTTCGTTAATAAAGGAATACCGAATGGTTTTCCGTGCAGGATTGCGTGATCCTTGGACGCGGGATGTTGCGAGACTTTCGGAAAGCGTAAAAATACACGAGCCGTAGGCGAGTGTATTTTTACGCTTTTCGACAGTCGAAAACAACAATCGTGATTTAACTAATCGGAGAATCGCTACTCCACGCTATTGAAAACAACAACAAATGGGAACAGAATTTGATCGCAATTACTCCAAAATATACGTCGAAAATGCAGAGACTTTTTCGATAAAATATACAAAATTTGAAATGGAAACCCCGCTAAACAGAGAGCCAGAGTAGTTTTGAAGATTCTCGACCTGAATACTTGAAGATTGCGAAGCGTTTGAGCTTTGAAGCGAGAGATGTTGTACTTGCCATGTCTGATGAATTTCAACGCTACGCGTTGCTACTTGCTGAATAGCAATGTATCGATCAGAAATTTATTCATACAACTAAAGCAACGTCTCAATAATTGCAAACTTACTTCACAGTCAAAAGGTATCGTACAATAAAACTTTACAATGCTAGTATATTTGTAAAATTACTCTATGTGCAAGAATTTCTGTTCAGAATTTCCTGTGCAGGATTGTCTGATCCTGCACGACTGTTGACCAATCAAATTGCGTGTTTCACTGTAGTTATTATATAATGCTGTTTCGTGCACGTTCGTTATCGTATTGTCTATGCTCTAGCTCACGTATTAAACAGTTCTTTGAAGCTTCTCTGTTTCACCGTTTGTTTTATACCAATTTGTAATTTGTATTGCAACAAAGCCCGCCATGTATTTACGCACGCTTCAGAAATTTGAATAAATTGAATTTAATTTACCCAAAAGGTAAAACGGATATGACGTAGGCCGGGTAAGCTTTTCTTCGTTTATTCGTAGACCCCTCACGAACGTGTCTCTGCTGGGGTCTACACCGCATGCTAGTATTTACTTTACTCTGCGCGGTTAAGCAAGACAAACTTTTGCTAATTTCTCATCCAATTTTCATCCAAATTTAACCAATATTTTACCCTGGAAATGTCCATTAGTGCCGCAAATTCGTGTAGTAGTACATCTTTATTAAGAGACAATTTTTTTCAATGTCACGTATTTGCAATGAAAAGTGTTCAAAACCTAAAATCTTTTTGGCGCTCCTCTCAAAATTACTTTGTTTTAGCTTTATTCTTTAGTTTATAGAGTTAGCAACCTTTTTAAATGCATTTGCCGGTTGAGAAACATAAAATAATAGTTAAAAATTGTCAATGAAAATACAATTATCAAAGATGCTCTAAAATTGACGTCATATATTTCCAGCCATATAAACAAAACTTACTGAACTTCAGACATCATTTTCTTTTTGGCATATCATCTAACAATCTTTTCATTTTAGCATTATTTTACAGATAAAACACTAAACATACTTTTTAACTTTGTTTGCCGATTGAGAAACGTATCGAAAAATAAAAATTTTGAATTAAGTCATAACCTCAAGTGGTATATTATACGCATTAGCTTTGAGCGCGTGTCACGTAACATACAAAAAATCTCCTCTTAAAACATTTTTAGCTTATCGTGCTAACAGACAAACA